AAAACACAAGGAATGGCAAAAGTCCAGTCATGACAGTCGCAATGGGCAGTGGAAGAATTATTGCATGAGAGCTCTGGGGGGAAAAAGCGCCAGCTGCCAGCAGTAGCCGCAACACAGCAGGGCCACCAAGCCTTTTCCTAAAACAGCCCCATAGTCATTCGTGAGCATTGGATGTTTTTCGTTGCGAGGGGCGGATGCAAATCTACTTCTCCAAAAACGATCTCACACATTTCGTCTGCGGCTAAACATAGATCCTTTGCCCAGTTCCAACATCTGTATCAGCATTCAGTTTCAGCCCTGAAATTCCGGCAAAAACAACAAACAAAAACAAAAAAAACAGCCCTCAGGTGGCCCAAGTCCTCGTTCAACGACCGGTCCGTTGCTCGGCTGGCCTTGGTGCGGAGGTCTCCCCCGAAGACGCTGAGCAACGACAGGCCCAGGGCCCCACAGCCGATGACCAGCGCCACGATCGCCAGCGGCAGCTCTGAGCCCCCCAACTTCTTGCAGCACCGGCCGCGGCGCTTCTCCCTCCAGTGACAAAAGCTCCGACTCCCCCAACTGTCCAGTCTGTTTACTGTTTTGGGGCCACTTGACCCGGCACGAGCCAGCCTTGACGCATTCACACACCAAACGGAGAAAGAGCTCTTCAACTATTCGCGGCCATTCCAGAAGCCTTTTTTTACCTTGCATATCACCTGAGGAAACAAGTCACTTACCAGCACCTCGGATAACAAACAGGTTCAGATTTGCTCCTCCAACCCTTGACGAGTGCAGCATTTCAGCCAGTCACCCAAGAAACAGTCTTGGGCTCACTTAGTCAGGGAATCGGCAATCAGGGGCCCAAACTTGGAGCGTCTGGTGACAACTAAAGCGCTCAACATCCGGCTGGCAGTCACAAGCAACTGACGACTAAAATCTGACTGACATCTAAATTGGCGCCACTCCAGCGGGCAAGCTTAGCTGAGCTTTGCGTCCAAGCAACTCTTCTGGCAGGTTGAGGATAGTGATGAGCATCGTCGCGGCCGCAGCCGGGGCGCAAAACCAGTAAGGGGCTCTGTTGCCCACGTTCTCCAACAGCTCGCCTACGATGCTGATGGAAACCAGCTTCCCCAAGGCGATGCCTCCCCAAACGTACGAAATCAGGTCGGGGCCGTGCTCCGGCTTTGCCCGCAAGTGAGTGGAGTACACTGCCTCCGTGAGCAGGTCACTCCAGGCGATACATGTGAACGCCAGGAAGAACATCATGAGAAGGACCGGGAGTGACAGGGTGGGCACCGCCGCAATCATGACAAAGGCAACCACCCCGAAGATGCTGTTTAGGCCGAAGTAGGGCGTGCGGATGCGTCCAAAAATAGGCATGGAGTCCGCTATCAAGCCCCAGAGCGGCTTGATGGACCTCGGATGGGCGGTGACATCGTCCAGCCCTCGCAGCTGAAACATGCACCATCATGCACCCGAGCAAAAGCCGTGTTCAAGGTGACCCGTTAGACATACTTGAGACAGGCCAGCCCAACGATCGTCCCGTGAAGTGTCCTACGAGTAACGAGCTCCTGGCGCAACCCACCCGAAGTGCCAAGGGAGGTTGGAGAAAACAGCGGCATCACCCTCAGAATTGCACGCCCCCCCCCCCCCCCCCAATTTCGCCATGCCAGAGACCAAGCAGGCGAGAAGGTACAATATTTGCGCGTTTTGATGGCCGAGGGGCCAAGGAATGAGGACCGCTGACTTGTAGACCTGTAGCTGAGCAGCAGGCACCTTGTACTCTTTGAGCAGGTAGTCCATGGGCAGGCCAATGAGACCAGCGTTCCCGCCCCCGCCCACAAAGCCCTGAGTGAAATTCCCAACCAGGCGCTTTGGAACGCTCGACAAAAACCGAGCTACTTTGCCAGACAGCCAATGAATCAACCAACCAGAACCAACCACATTGAGTCCAATCCACCTGTCCACTGCCTGGCGCAGTCAAGTAGGCAAAAACTATGTGCAGGCGGTAGGAGCCACTGTGCAGGCGAGCTCTTCGTGCGCAAGCATCGCGCTTTGCAAAAAAAACAACAACATGCGTTGGGTAACAAAATAAGCAAAAACCAAAGCAGGCAGGTGGCCAGCCAATGCGACAACAAAGTGCATATCAGTACTTTGTCCCTCGCGCACGGCAAGCACGTGGCTTGCAGTCAGATGAGGGCTCAAAACAGTGTCTGCTGGATGACCTGTTATTGTGACCGCGTGCCGGGTACAAAGCAATTCTGACCAATCTAAGTGCGGCCCTGCCAGCTGATGGATTACGCTCAACCGAAAGGTACCCGGGCTTGACAACTATCCAACATTGATTCACTATTGTTAGCGGCGCGCCATCCAAGCATGGAAACCCACATCTTACACGGCTGGTGCGCGGCCCGGTGTTTCGCGTGTTTTGATAAGCACAGGCCCGAGGCTGCCTAGTAGTGCACACATCTTGAAACTCCACTGAGATTGCCACATGCAAGCTTCGCAACTAGCAGCTTGGCAGGTGTAGAGGCGGCACAGCCAGAAAAGGACAAAAACTGACACGTAACACCAAGAAAAGGCGAACACGTGGCAGAAAAGCAGGGGGCCGTCTGCAGCATGACCAGGGCGCAACGACTGATTGCGCGAGACGCACTTTCCGACACTTTCTTCAGTTCATCCTTCATCTTGGCTTAACGGGAAACCTGAAGGTCAAAAGGTCGAATGCGACACGGTAAAAACTCATGGGGCTGTGGCCTTACCCCATTAGGAACCTATGATGGTTCTTCAAATTGCCAACCGGGTTGACGACCTGCTACCTCCCAAAGAAGTGCACAAAGCCCTCGGAAGATGCCGCTCCTCTGGAAAGGGAGGAGACCTGCACTTCCATGCTGGAGGGTCCAAGTATTGACCCCAAATCAATCAAGGCGTCCTGGTTGAACCCCCCACCAGTTTCCGGGGTTCCCAGTCACCAGCCTTCAGAGTTGCCTCCGAGAGCGCGATGAGAAGCAGCAGCTTCCAGCCGAAGGAGGTGAACAGCTTCTTGAAGAATCCTTTCGGCTCAAATTGCGGGGGGGGGGCGGCGGCGATCTTCAATTCGGCTCCGGGTCCGGAAGTTTCCGGAAGGTTCCGGAAGGTGATGGAGGTTGCTCAATATCCCAGACGGCTCGGGGGATCCCTTTGGTAGGGTTGCGAAGATTCCCGCGCGTTTCGCAACACTCGGGGGCAGCATGGGGCAGTGACAAGCCCAAACGTTGCTTGACGCTCATGGTCTGCATGTAGACATGCGGGGTCAGATCGCCAGACCTGTCGCACTTTCCTTTGACCCCACACGCAAATGCGAGCCGATGCCCAAAGTCGCAGCAGAGGTGCCAGCATTTTCCAAGTGCTCGATGGGATTTGTCTCCTTGGCCTCCCAGTCCCCCTCCATAACGCCGGCTCGCAGGACAAGTGCAACGTAAGAAGCGAGCTTGAGCCGATTTGCGGGCAGCCCAAGTGCGCGTACGGACCAGGCCAAGGCAGTTCTGTCGCAGTCGTTCTGTACTGAGAAATGGGCGACAGCACGGCAAGCTTGCGCAGTTGCCATCACGGTCATGTGGGCGGCGCCCAGACGATCTTTTGGAAAAATGCAAGCACGAGGCAATGCTTTGGCTGTTCATGATTGACCTGCTTGCATTGCGCTTGTTTGCCCCAGTGGTACATACTTCCTGGAGAAGGGAAGCATCCTCCTTATTTATCCTTATCACTTTGACGCCTCAAGGCGAATTCGGGTAAAACCCAATTCGCAAATAACCTTGCAGCACTGAGGCGTTTAGGATGCAAGGAGTGGGGTTTGCACTACCTGGCCTGTAGACCCGGAATCTGGCGAGCGACAAAGCGAATGAAAGAAACTCAGCGGCTTCTGCTTCCATGTTGGCAAAGTGCCACCAGCAAAGGCTTAGCAATGTTTACGAAAGCGAAGCTTCCGCTCAGGGTACCCACCAAGAACCCTAAACCAATCGCATCTCACTCTGAGTCTCTCCCTTTCTCTTTCTTTCTATTCATTTTCTCTTCTCTCTCTCTCTCTAAGCGGCATCTTCTTGCGGCTGACCTGACATTCAAAAGCGGGTAATTATGCGTCCAAACTGGGGGGAGTTCGCAGTTCGCCTTTGGTTTCCCAAGCCAACACCGAAAGGGGTACCCTCAAAAGACTCAAAGCCAAGTGGCATCTGAGTATCCTAGGGCCTTTCTGTACTCCACTCAATGTGCCGCACTGAAGGCTTAGCCGCCTACAAGAACCTACAAGACAGGGTGACACAGCAGCTCGCTGACCATGCGCCATTGCTAGCATACCGCAAATCCAGGCAAACACACCTGTCCTATGGGACAAGCCGTCCATTTTTGAGCCACGGATTAATGTTAATCTCTTCCTCTGCAACACCTAAGGCAAGGCGCATTGCAGTCAGCCGGTGCAGGGTGGTGAAACTGGAGCACAGGGCAGCTCTGGGCAAAAACATGCCCCGAAAGGAAAAAAGGCCCGACGCATCGGGACTTGTGGAACTTCCGTGAACTCCTTGCCCATTGAACGCCCCCGGTAAGTTTCGGTGAGGGCGCAACTATCGCTTCAGGGCGCGGCTCTTCGTGTTGAGCTCCACCTCGGATCAGTCACATGGAGGCAAGCTCCCGCACTGCACAAAGAGAACGATACCTGACAAAGCAAAAGACCGCTCGAAGCCTCTTGATACCAATGGCTAAAGTACCCAGGGTCACTCAAGAGGCTTTGCACCATGTTCGCCCTGATAGAAGCCCGGGTATGCTAACCTGCCGCACATTCGATCTTCACAGCATGCTCAGGTCTGGCAAGAACAACTGGGTTGTCAAAATAGGGGGACCTGCAAAATCTGCAAAATGCGTGGTTTTCCTCTTGGTTTGCCCTCAAACCGACCCAAAAGGAGAGCCATCACAAAAGCAACACCTGCCCAACTTCTCACTGAACACGTCACCCCCCATGCCGAATGGTCATGAGTGCTCCACAGCCCAAGGCGCGCAAACATCGGCGCATTGCTGATGGGCTCGCTGGAGGGCGGTGAGATCTCCTGGGGAGGGTGCAGGGCGCTGGACGCAGTTCCGCGAAGCCCCCAAAGCGACCTGCACACTTGGCAGTTGCAACAAGCGTCAGAAACTTGCTTTGTTGAACAAGGGGATCCCCAAGTAAACAAGCGTGTTGCCCCCAAGGTGAGCTCGCTATAACAACAAAAACAAAGCAGACTATATGACAGCAACATCCTGGCATCTTCCCTCCCTTGGCTCCAAAGGTCTCCAACGTGCATGTTGTTTCCGGTCTCGCAGTTTCCGGTCTCGCCTCGAGGGCTGTTGTTGCTGGAAGGCTCCCTGGTCGGCGTGCTCCGTGCTGAGGGTCGGCTAGAGGGCGGAGGCCTGTCAGCGAGCTTTTGCGAAACGGGTTTCCCCAAGAGGAAGTGGGACATTTAGTGTTTGTCCTGGTTGGTGGAATGTCTTTTTGAGCTCGTCCGCTGTCCCTCCGATATGGGTGCGGATTGATTTTTTTTGTTTTTCGTCCGGGCCAGTAAAATGTCGTACAGCATTTTCTCGCGAAATTGACGCATTTTGCACTAGCCCGTCAGCATTCCCAGCATCGTGTTTAATATCTTTCGTATGTCCGATTAACATCCCTAGCATCACCAACAAGTCATGGGTAACAAAATCCAAAAAGTAGCTGGCGGGTTGACGGGGTCAAAAAAATAATGATTCAAACAGGAGGGCATTTCAATTCCAGTAAAACAAAAAACTTTACAGCAAAAAGCGGGGGGGTTGGGGGGGGGCGGCAGCCCCCCCCCCCCCATGACGGTCGCAGAAGTGATGATTCGAATAGGGGTGCAATTAAATCTCTGCAAAGTCTAAACACTAGTGGGGGGGTTGGGGGTGCAGCCCCCCTCATGATGTTCGAAGAATTGATGATTCAACTAGGGTTGCAAATAAATCTCTGTAGAAAATCTAAAACGTAGCGGGGGGGTCGGGGGGGCGGCAGCCCCCCCCATGATGTCGGAAGAAGTGATGATTCAAGTAGGGGTGTAATGATTCAATACAGGGTGCGATAGAATTTAAAAGGCAGCGGGAGGGTTGGGGGGGGGTGGCTTCCCCTATGATGTTCGAAGAAATGCATACATACAGGCATACATTGATTACACAGCTTACCTAAAATGTCGTATTTGCAGCATTTTCCGCGAAATTGGACGCTAAAAAAAAAAAGATGGTTCAAACAGGGGTGCAATTCAATCTCTGCAAGAAATCAATAAAGTAACGGGGGGGAGGCGGCAACCCCCCCCATGATGTTTGAAGAAGAGTTGATTCAAATAGGGGTGCAATTACTCTGCAAATAATCTAAACAGTAGCGGGTGGGTTGGGAGAGGGGGTTCCCCCCCATGATGTCCGAAGAAGTGATGATTCAAATACGGTGGTGGTGATGCTGATGATGCGGGAAGCCAAATCCAAAAACCAATGAAAGGGCGCAAAAGCCAAAAAGCGCGAAGGATACGAAAAGCTGTGCTTGGCCGGGGTAAGTGGGCCGATGCCGCACCACACCCTGCCAGAAAAAAAAGCATCCCATGTCATCGAAGTGAACGAAAAGACCAGCTGGTCCTTGAGACGAAGTCAGTCCTTCCCGTCGGTGTTGCGCTGAAAAAAGCGCCGTGTTGTGCTCGAAGATGCGCTGTCATTGCGCAGACTAGTCTTCCCATGGATTCTGTATCTACGCGCTTGTCCTACCGCACCAGTTGCTGCTGCATTGTTGCTGTTGATGCTGCTGTTGCTTTGCGGCAGGAAAACTTCCACAACTCTCTTAAAAGCGCGAAGGATACGAAAAGCCAAAGCCGCCAAAAGCCGCATAAACCAGCGAAAAGCCGCAAAAGCCAAAACGCCACCTGCCGAAGAGGAACTGGGAATGCAGAGGATGCGAAAAGCCAAAAGCCGAAAAGACCAGAAGCCCAGAAGCCGAGAAGCCAAGAAGAAGAAGCCGAAAAGCCAAGAAGCCAAGAAGCCAAGAAGCCAAGAAGCCAAGAAGCCAAGAAGCCAAGAAGTTAAGAAGCCAAGAAGCCAAAAGCGAAAAACAAATCCTAAACAAAAACGGAAAAACATCCTAACAAAAAAAAAAAAAAACACCTCCCTCCGAAATTGACCATAGACTGCCGGAAGTGTTGACGAAACCTCTTCCACTTGACAGGGGGAAGCACCAAGAAAACAAACCACATTGCCGCCATGGCAGAAGGGAGGACAGGCTGAGCACTGCAGTGAAGGCTGCAAGCAACTCCTCACCAAGGTCAGCCTTAGCTCAGATTGGCTTTTGCCATGGCAGAAATTGGCTATCCATGCGTACTCGCAATGATGCAGTTGTTTGTATTTCTCCAGGAGGCAAGCCTCCGCAAAATGAGCATTCAAGTACGTGCAGCGCTGCGACGTGCCATCATGCAGCCTTTTCATAATGACAACTTTGGTTGACTGAGTTGGTGCCATCCAAGTTTGGGAGTATGCCAGTTCTGTATGGACGCCAAGTTTATCTTCTCATGCAAAGTGGCCGAGTGCAACAGTGCTTGTCTCCGACTGCGAAGTACTTGGTCGGATTGCTCGGACGTGCGTTTCCCTCCTCCCCTGCCCCCCTGCCCCCCTGCGCCTGAGCTTCTCGGGCCTAGGTCTGTCCCCTGCGGACCCCGTGTGGCAGCCGAGTTTTGTGCGCTTCCTGTTGCCCCATGTGCCCGGGCGGCTGCCCCGCAGTGTCGCTGTGTCCCTTATGCAACCGCTGGCGCATCTCAATCCCATAATATATATATATATATATTATATATATATATATATGTATATTGTAATTTTGCACAACTAAGAGCCCACACAAGACAAAAGGCAAAGAGCGCTTTACGTCGCAACGTCCCATCTCCCAGCTCAGCAAACCGCTTGTAGTCTATCAGCAGCTCCTTGGCCTTTGCAATCAGCGCCTGAGCGCCGAGTGACTGAGTGCTCCGGTAAGCCGCAAGTCATGCTGACAAACACCTCCAACTCATGCACTGCTACAGCCCTGCCCCCCCCCCCTCCAAAGGCCTAATCAGGTTTCTAAGGGGGGGGGTCAGGGGCGGCTGCTGTAGCAGTGCATGACCAACCGCACGTGCACTCACACTCCGGCTTGAAGTTTATACCATGGTCAAACTTTTGGCTTCCAGCGATGGATCAGATTCTTAGCCTCGCCTTTGAACTGCCATCTGTTTCAGTGACCCAGCTTATCTTCAGTGCAACTCTTGTCCAAACAAGCTCAAGCAAACCAAGGATCTTGGCCAATCATTTTCAACAACGCACAAGCCGTTGGCAAACATGTTCTCACATGTTTGTGTTCCCTAGTTGAATTGAAACCTGATTGTCCTGCTGTTGCACTCAACCTTTGACTAGATTTTCAGCTGGCTCCACTTGAGTTGCACCCCAAACACTTTGAGATACATGCCAAAATGGTGGCATCACATGCTTTGGGCTCACTATGCGCATTCCACACACTCAACCCAAACGGCTAGGTTGTCTGAGTGGCCAACCATGGGCAACCCACTTTTTGAGCACCTCAGTGCCCTGGGGCTTTCCGAACCGCCTGGCGAACCGACCGCTCGCCGCTCGCCTCGTTGTCGAAGGTGCCCGGCATCGGCTTCGCCTTGGGCGGCTCCCGCTCCGACCTGGCCCCATGGACTTTGCGCGGAGCCAAAGTGACAGGTAATGCATTGCTAATGTTATTTGGGGTGTATAGGGTGTATTTTTGACTTTAGACTTTGTGATGTTGTTGTGGGGTGAGGTGGTGCCTTTACACCGAGATGCCTTTTGCACATTGTGTTGCTTGAGATCCCGATGCACCGCAACATGCCATGTTTGGCTCCTCAGGCGCAGTGATCACGCGATCCACACGCTTAGTGTTTTGGAGGCACCGGCCTTGTGAACGTAAGAGGTGTGGGTTGATGGCAAACAGGCATTGCCCGGGGAAAAAAACAAAAAAACAAGTTGCTTCCCTGACAAGAGCGCCCGCCCCTGGTGTGTCCGAGCCGGCAGGCCTGTCAGCCAAGCTCGATCAATCAGGGCAAAAGAAACAGCTCCTATTGCTCAAAATACTTATCCCATGCGCCACTTGCGAAAAGTATACGCTTGCAGGAAGTCATCTCAAATGCAAGGCCCAGCGACTTGACGGAATGGCTGAGCAGTCCGCACGTACAAGCCTTCGATTCTAGTTGCCAGCTTCCCCCAAGGCCGAGCACCAACGGGATTGATTCCGCGCCTGGGGAGGTTGCTGAGCTGCAGCGAGGGCTTGCTCATCAGCATCTGGTTCTGCTGGTCCAGCTGGGCCACTGCCTCAAACCGAACAGCCGAACGAAAAAGCTGCTGTTCGCTGCAGGAGCGCGGGCTTGCGAAGGCAAACAAAACGGCCATGAAACACAAGTGGGAACACGAAAGCTTCGCAAAGTTTTCATAGAGCAAGAAACCACAAAAAATGGCAAACATCCCGAACGGCCTTCAAACCCATGCAGTACCAATATGCAAGCGCAAACACAACTTGCAGCGAGTGATTACTTATGAGTCACCAGTCACGGCACAGGCAGCACAGGCCAAACCACACCCACCTGGGCGACTCCGCTGCACAGGGCGCGTGCCCGCCGCACAACCTGGCAGCATTGTGAGACAGGCCGGTTTCTTTGCAGCGGGAGCTGAGAAGCCCAATGGGCTAGCCCCGAGACGGTCAGCTTGGAGAGGAATCGAAACGACAAACGTCTTACTGCAAGGCATGCCAGCAGCGACAGGATCATCGGCAAGCAGGCTCGGCAGAGGTGATGGCTCAGCCTTGGTGAGGATGTGGTTTCGCTGGACGAAATTGGAGGAACGTTGCAACTTGTCATGGACACGTTCAATATCAGCTTTCTTTCTGCAAACTTAGATTTCCCATGTTCCCCTTGAACATCACCCTGGAAAGCAAACTCGGCCTCTTTTCGTCTAAGAAGTGACGTTTGCATTAAGCTGGAAATAAGCTCAGGTGATGTTCCCAACAGCATGCGGAGCTCTTTTTGGTGCTCGCACCACCCCGCAGCCCGGGCAGAACCTCGTGGAACCCTTGTGGAACTTTGGTGGAACTCTTGTGGAACCCTCGTGGGGCCTCTCCCCAGGGGGTACCCTTTTTTCTGTAGTCTATTTTAGTAGGGGAACCCTCCCCCGAAAAAGAGTAGAAGGGCACTACTGGGAGACCTGGTTACAATGAAACGCTTCTTGGCTCCGGTCGATCTCTCCCGGCACGGAGGGCCATCTTCGCCCGAAGCGCGCCCTGGCCTGGCCACGCGCGCAGCAACTCAGCGAGTTGCTTTAGGACAAAAACACAACAAACACAACACAAAAACACCGGTTCCGCAAAAAAAACAATACGATCATTCCCCAACAGCTGAAAGCTTTGGGGTCTCAGCCCAGATAGGCTCCGGGGTGGTCCGGGGCGGCCCTGAGGTAAGGTTCGAGGAGGGTTCCACCAGGGTTCCACCAGGGTTCCACGAGGGTTCCACGAGGGTTCCACGAGGTTCTGCGAGGGCTGCGAGGCGAGCGCTAAAAAGAGCACCGCGTGCTGTTGGGGATATCACCTGCGCTTATATATGGGTATGTGCTGTTTGGTTTCAATTTGTACCAACCCACGAAGGGCCTCAAAAACAGAAACGCGCGCGCACACAGATACACCCATTTCAAGCCAACAAGCAGTCGCTCGGCCACGCTTCGAGGTTGGGCCTCTGAGAGGCAGCGCCGGCTTGCGGCCGCAGCTGCCCGCTCCTCGGCGCGAGGGACTTACTCCGCTGCAATGGGTGTGTCTTTTTCTGCACCCGGGTGTTTTCTGTGTTTGTTTCATATTGAAAATTTGGTATTTTGGGGTGCGAAAAAGCCCTTCCGGAACTCTAGCCCAGAGCTGCACACAAGCCCAAAGCTTGTTTCGGCAGATGTTGGGGAAGAAAGTGAGTTCTTTTGAGGTGGGGTGAGGTTCAAAAAGGAAATTCAAAGAACCCCGTGTAAAACAGCGGTTGCCTTTTTACTCTTGACCTCTCGAGAATCTGAAAGGACAGAGTAAGGATGTTGTTTATCACTTGTATCATCATGAATTGTAATCTGCATGTGCAACAAAGAGAGCACTTTAAGTCCAACATTCATAGAATCATGTATTGTCATCTGCGCAAAGCTTTGGTGGATCAAATCTACGCAAAGTCTGAACTGTGGTGAAAACAACAGTTGAGGATCTGAACTTATCCCGCTGGAACTTGACAGGTTACATTGGGTTGGTCGCGTCCTTCCGGCAAACCAAGTCTCGATCACAAGTCCAGGGTGCCTCCAAAGCTTACCATTTGGGTCTGGGTCAAAATAGAATAGGACTAAAACCTGCGGGCCATAACATCCTTGTGGCTTATTCTTGACCCATACCCATTTGACAAACATCCTGTCGACACGGCTCACATGCTTCGACCCAGCCCGCCTCGCGGACAGCCCTCTTCGTGGCAGCATCGTCGGCCAGGCGCTCGCTCCTGGGCTTCAGCATAGGATTGGTTTTTGTGCTTGCGACAAAGGGCGGCATGGGCACCCCAGCCATTTCAGCGGCAAGCGTTTGGGCTCCCCTTCGTGATGGGACATGCTGTTGACATCATGCTTAAGATCCGCATGACCTGCTGGTGATGCTGACGTGGGATGCGCAGCGTGCTGGTGAAGGACACTGGATGCAATATGTTCTGCTGATGCTGCGGATGCGGATCCGTGAAACATGTTTCAAGGCCCTTTCACAAAAAGGAAAAAAACACATGACACATGGTGCAAATTCTGCAGCTTTCTACCAGGGCAACTACCGTTCTTCTGAAGGCTCATCCATCTAACATCCTTTTGCGCATAATTCCCGCTATGCTGCAAGTTGCGTTAATCCAACCTCGATCGTCATCGAACGGGAGAAGGAGGGGGTTATTCATGAGGGGCGCAACATTGCATGGCCCAAATCCAGAGGTACACCAAGAACAGCATGTCCAGATCCTGCTCGAGTTTCTCTCATAGAATCTTGCCTGTCCCCAAATGAAAGCATCGGCTTGGAGGAGACCCTTAGATGCAAACCTGGACGCTTCGGGTCCGCACCCCCATGAGAATAAACGAGGCTTGTGCTTAAAACGGGGTCAACATTTTAGTCGACGCTCCACTTGGCCGCCGGACTTATCATTCAGCGCCCGGCTGAAGCGCTGGTCGTGTGCCAGGCGCAGCGCTTCTGAGCGCGCCTGGCCCTCGTAGCCCACCTGCGAAACCGACCCCAGGCATCTTTGACGGGATTCACGCCGGCAAAACCCGCAGGGCCAAGCTGGAAGTTGAATTTGACATTCTTTAAATGTGATTGTTTGGTTGCTTGGTTTGCAGTTTCCTTTTGTTGATTGGTTCCTGGTTGGTCTTACGCTTGATTGATTCATTCTGTCTGTGTACTCTGTCAGTAGCTCTTGTGCAGCACCGGCCTCGGCAATGCGAGCTGCTAAAACTGCTTCTCCTGACGTGACGAGTTGCCACCTACTCCCAGCCGGCTCCCCACAAACTTTGGCCCAAAATGTGATGCCTCAAAACGAAAAGGGAAAATCAATCAAAACCGTGTTAGCCCCTCTCATTTCCGACTCAACACTTTCTGAAAGTTCTGATGGCGCGAAGGACAGAAAAATCAAGCAACAACGCCTCCTGCCCCGCCTGTGGTTCTTCAATGGTCTGTTGAGTGACCTCCTAGTGGGTGTTGTGGGGCCGGTGGGTTGGGCAGGCTGAGTCGAATTTTCCTGGCGATGTCGCGAAACCCACGCGCCAAAAGAGATCCCCAGGGCCTTGGGCTTGTCGAGCCTTCTTGGCTGCCGCCCTTTGCACCTTCGTCTGAAGCTGTGAAAGCGCGCCGTTTGATGTTGCTTGGTGGAATGCGGCCCCGCGTTTTACAGTACCCTGTTCAGCTTGGTTGATCAGGCCACCAAAAAATAGTTGGGCCCCGTTTCGCCGATTTTCCCTCTCTCGATTTTAATTTTGTCACTCGCGTGGCGAAAGCCTCCCAGGCCTCCTGCGTGGCCTGCTTCTTGATCTCCTCCACGTCGGAGTTTCCATGCATGGAAGCCTCTCCATGTATCACTGAGGCAGATCCACTACAAGCAATACAGCTGAAGGTCACCTGGCCTTGCCGTGGGGGAAATGGACAGCACAGTGTTGACTGCAGGTTGGCTCTTCAGCGAAAGCCATCTCTGCAAAAGTTTGCTCGTGTGTGAAAGATGGTACCGTTCCAAACCATTTTGGTTTGGTCACACATGGCAGTCACTTTGTTTGAGGGGTCTGTCACAGAGTCGCGGCGGACATTCGTTGCAGACCTCGCTACAGACCTCTGTAACAAGACCCGCTGGCTCGTTACACACCTCTCGTTACATACCTTTGCTACACAGCTCGCATGAACATGCCCCTCGTTGCAAACCCCGATGCGTACCCAGGATGATTTCCCATGTGTGCCTGCACGAAATCCTGCACCAGCTGGTAGGTGTTTGAATTGAAATTTGTCGATCCCCTGCGATAAGAGTGTCTTTGTATTTGAGGGTACCCCTTTCTTGGTGGTTTTATCGGGAAGCCACCAGGAAACGCCATCATTTTGGGCAGGTCACCTGAAAAAAAACCACACACCCATAGTGCGGATGGTTGCGAAATTCCTTTCGCTCCACCGTCCAGAAACCCTAGGGATGCTGCCACGGTAGATGCCAAGAAACGCTCCGGTTTCAGCCATGGTTTCATGCCGCGGCGCGAACGGATTTCGCCATAGGTGGCCTTTTTGACAAATAGATGGCCGTGGTAAATGGAATAAACCCCATCTAAAACTTTAGCGTACTGCTTCTTCAGTAAGGTCAAAGTTAGCAGAGCTTGATTTCCAGGGCCCCGGGTGGAACCATTGTTTACATGCGCAAATACCCATGGGTTGCACCATCCAAGCAAACCAACCAAAAAGGACACCTCTGGATTTCGCAGTCCGCAGCTTTCAAGCCGCGCCTTCAGCGCTGCATTCAGCGCCGCCGCCGCCGCGGCCGCGGCCTCGATGCCGCTGCCGCCGGCCTCATGCAAAGAGCACAAGGGGGATGCAGGGATCCTTACATACGCCTTGTAAATGGTGATTTCCCTTTATTTTGCTAGAAAAAGCCATGGTTCAAATGGGTGAAATGTATCTTTTAAGATGCCTGCACATGTTTGAGCAATTCCCAGTTTTTAAAGGGTTGTTTCAGGGTCCAGGTTTGTTCTTCTTGTTCTTTTCAGCTTGGTTGAAAGGAACACACGGGGAAAGCCAATTTTGTTGGGGGCTTCCCATACTCACTTGAGGTGGAATAAAACTCTGCGTTTTGCGATTGCCCTGAGGTTACTTTTCTTTGCATAAAGCCTCATCTGTGAAAGTGTGCACTCCCCATCATTCTGTAAGTAACCGAAACAACCGTTCCAAAAAAAACAAGTGTGAAGTGAGCTCATGTGCGCTCATGTCTGGGAAATGTTCGAGCGCCCCCCCCCTTCCAGGTCCTCATCATTCTGCACGGAAACGTCGTGGCAAAAAACACCGTCTTCGCAGCCTTTTTCACTCCTGCCTTTGCCTGATTCGGTTGCCATATAGCTTTTGCCCTTTGTCGCCTGCTTCCCCCACAGAAAGCTCTTGGGACTTTGCTGGTTGATCTGTTGCAGGATCCATCGTGAAGACTATGCTTAGTCATTAAGCCTTGCATGATGACCTCTTATCTGCTCGGACTCCGAATCATTCACAACGTGACCCGGCTATTCCTCCCTGAAGCCGACGACTGCCTGCATGAATGATCTTCTCAACGCGTCTTCAAGCTGCGAATCCGAGCACCCTGCTTCTTTCTGGTAGGCATCAGCTACAGCCTGGCTGGTGGCTGTGCGTAATGCATTGGGGAGGCTTGGCTTGTCCAAGTCCCTGTTTTGTCGGATTGCTGCAAAACAGGGGAGCTCCGAAATGGTGCCTCCGAAACGTTTCCCTTGACGCCAACCTGAAAAGGGTACCCTCCAAAAAGAAACCCCACTCCCACTTCTGATCACTTGTTACGCCTCTCAGGCTAGCAGTGCCGGTGGGTTTCCGGCCTTGAGGTCCATGCTGCCAACGGACTGCGCCACCTAAACACGGTGCGGTGCATTTTGGAACCCCCAAAAATGGAACCAAGGACTAAAACCTGCAGTCCCCTGATGCTTGAATTTTGACCCACGCTTAAATTGGGAACTACACATAGAAGCAAACAACCACTGGCCGGCTTTGTGGTCACAACCTGTGCCACGTCTGAACAATTCTGAATATCTCAAAAGCCTGGGTGACACCTGCATCACCCTGGCCTGCAAGAGCAACCCCCTTGCAAGTAAAAACCCTCCGCATTGCGGCACAGCCACGCCCGCCAGTCGATTCGCTCGCTTCATGGCTTTCTCATCCATGAACCTGTGCGAAGGCAAAGCGCAAGTACTGCTCGTGCTGGTTTTGTTGGCACGTATCGTGGTGATCTTTGTGGTTCATTCGGGAGGGACGGCCGTACATATTCGATCATTGTTCAGGTCGGGTTGTTGGAGTGCAATCCGCCCCAACCACACACACCGTCGAACATGTCGTCAATCTCTGATCCTCTGCCCCTTCCGGGTTGCCAAAGCTGACATCCGGGCCAACCCTCGGGTGAAGCCAAGTCTTCGGACCCTTCTGACCCTCCCCACCCCCGCTGGGCTCCAGACGCATCCCGGTTTTTGGGAACATGCAGCTCCCGGGAAGGCGAGAGATCCATGGGAGCCTCGCGGGCCGAGCGTGGGTCACCGAAGGAAGCATCCGGCCACTAGGAGCAGGGGACCGCACTTGAAATGGGCGAGGCATTGCTCAAGTTGGGACAAGTCTGTGGTTGGTGCCGTTATCCGTTGGCAATACCCTGATCATACCCTGGTGCTAACTAGGGTCCATTCACATCCATTCGCAGCATTTTCACAGGCGCCCGTCTTATCCAACCAAACATCATGAGTGCCCGAAACGAAGTGTGAGGATTCCTGGCTGGGCCTGGACACCCCGCAAAGTGCCAGCCCCCACAAAGCAACGGCTGAGCAAAACGGCCGCCGAGCTTCGCTGTGCGACCACCTGGATGACCAGAAGTATGCAATAAACAAGCCTACACATGCCAATGTGCCAAAGCGCTTCAGCATGCTGAAACGCAGTGATGAAGCCGTCAGATTTCGGCACGCTACTTGAAACAAGCAGGGCTGCGTTCTGCAAATCATTTTTCACTTGCCGGGTCTTGCAAAGCCAGCCAGCGCTGCCTACTAGCTGATCCATGTCGAAAGCTTGTGGCCTGAGATTCATCGGCATCTTGGCCTCCCGTCTTCAGGTCATCTTGCCATAATCTTCTTGAAGTTGTTCCCTGCCCCGGCCTAAATCCGAATGCAAATGTTTGGAGCCCCCCCCCAAAAAAAAAAGAAAGAAAGAAGAAAGAACGCACCACGGCTGCCCATGATCTTCCCGGGGAAGGTCTTCCCGTAGTCTTCTTGCAGTCTCCGTAGTCTGCTGTGGTCTTACGGAAGTCTCCCGGGTAGTGTTCCGGTAGTCTTCCTGTAAATTCCGACCTGAGTCCAGATGCGTTTTTTGAAGCCTGAAGAAACATCTGGGCCCCAAAGCCATGCCCAAAGTGAAAGCAAACATGTTTTGAGAGACCTGTGCGAGCAAAGGCTGCACTTTCCAAACTTCCAAAGTGAGAGCAACCATGGACAGCGCAGCTTTTCCAAGGAACCCGGAACCCTGGAAAACGCAGACTTTGCTGGCACAAGTCTCTCAAAGCACCTCTGGCCGGATCAACATGCATTTTACGGAGCCCAAAAAGCACATCTGAACTCAGGCCAGGCCAGTTCTTTGAGCCCCCAAACTCGATGGCTGCCGACTAGTCTATCCTAACGTCCGGGTTTGCGGCCAATGTACTTTCTGAGATGCCAAAGCCTCGAAAGTTCGGGCACGTAGGAAAGACCAGCGTGATTCTTCGTCTATCAAAGCGATCACTACCCAAGCACAATGCCAGGTAGGACATGTTCATCGCTCAGACCAAGTCTGGCTAGGTGGCTCAGACCCATGCCGGCTAGGTGGCTCAGACCAATGCCGGCTAGCTGGCTCAGACCAATGCCGGCTAGCTGGCTCAGACCAATGCCTGCTAGCTGACCTGCCAATGTGCGAGTTTGACGCAGTGTGTTGCAGCTCGCTCCAAAATTTGTCTTTGGACATGTATTTACATCCAATGCTGTTTTCTTCCGATTGCTCACGGGTGAAACTTCGGGAGGCGACCCTTGCTTTGCAATCAGCCGCAAACACACCGTGTTCTGGCCAGCTGCGTCTTGACTGGCCCAACAGCAAAAGGCAATTTGTCCCTGGGAGGGCAACCCTCCTGCCAAAGAATCATTTTCCCTCAAGTTGGTGGTTTGGTAGTTCAGGGTGCGGTTTCCCATTTAATTACCATCTACAAGAACCATGGGTTCAAATCCCCAAGCCACCAATCCAAACCACCAATTAAGGGTAGCCTGAAAGAACGGACGCAGGCCAACTCACAAAACACGGAGGGTGAAATCACTACCCTGGCATTCTTGCGCCACGCTGGCGAGCTGCAACTTCAAAGATGAGCCCACCTCAGTACGTCGCTGGCAGAGGTGGCTAGTCCTGGCCTACTCCACAGGCGCGCTTGAGCCCATGACGGCAGGCCTTGCTTGGCAAACAAGCCATCCACACGACCGCCTCAATTCAAGGAACCTGGGGTACACCAAAGAGATGCAAAATTCGGGCAATATCAGTAGTCGTAAGGATTGGGCAGGGAAAACGTTGACTCCGCTTATGTGGTGACGTCACACGGGCGGTCTATGTACGTTTTGGCAGACGGCCAATGTTGCCTTGCTGCCAATGCTGATGTTTGGACTCCATCCCGTCCATAAAACACTCCACCAGCACTACAGGGCCAAAAAGACACCTGTCGCAAAGACCCGAATGAAGTGGCCGTCTTGGACATGATCTTATCTGTTGCCCTGAAGTATGCCGAATTTCTTCAGCCAAAAGCGCTTCGCGCCAATTTGCGCCAATGAAGAGGCAACATCCAACGTGACAACATGCCTCACAGTGCAGCTGGTATGAGTCTGCAATTGAGCCAGCCTAACATGGCACATTGCAGCAGCTACAAGGAGCAATCAGCTATGGCCACACGCAAGCCAGCCCGACACAATGTCGATGTCACCAAGTTGCAAGATTGTTGTTCAGCAGCAACTCCTTTTGGCAGAGCTGCCATGCACGATCCCCTCACACGCAACCGAACCACAACTGGTAACAAGGCCCCCGATCTCCTTCATTGACGGATGCGGGCCATTCTGGAACATATGGAGGAACTCTTCGGCCCCTGCCTTAGGTGATAGCCGACAGCACTATACACCTGGTGTCTTGCAATGATTGAAGGGCTACACATAACCCGAAGGTCCGAAGGTGTCAAATGGGGCTGTCTTTGACGTGGCAGAAATGAATGATGCCTGTGACGAATTCTGACGAGCTGCATTGCCAATCCGGTTGAAGCTCAAGTCAAGCTCCTGCCACGCTCGTATCGCTGCCAGGCTCACGGGTTAAAGGTACCGACCAACGGAGTGCGTGTGGCTACCAGAGGGCACCTGCCTGCCTATGCGCTTCATTAACTCAACTAAACCTTGCAAAACGGGCGGGGGGGGGGGGGAACGAAGAACGAAACCTCAGAGATGCAGCATTCAAACCAACGACAGTGATCTTCGTCTTCGTGACATCAAAATCAGCACCGGGTCGTCGTTAATTCTCCAAAATTAGCTGCTCGACGCCTGTCTCACTTCCCATTGGCACCATGGAGAAGAAAAACACCCTGTTTGACCATGGAAAAGCGAACAAAAGGCAGAGACCTGCAGCTTTCCTGCCGCAAGCCATGCACTCCCTGCCCGGTCCTCCACTGAGAGGCATTGTGGCAAGCGCATAGCAATGTGCCGTGCCTGCGCGCAGCTGAAGGACTGTTGCGTCATGGTTTTCTAGGGAAAGGGAGGGGACATAAGCACAGGTTGTCACACGAATGCATGGACACACACATATATATATATATATGTATATATATATATATACAACTACATATACATACACACACATATGTATATATATATGTGTGTGTGGCACATGTACGCACATGATTCGCCTTGGCCCTCTTGCCCTTGCCCGTTGGTTTGGATCCTGCCGCCGAAGGGACGCCGATGTCGCCAACTCGATTGGCACGGAGGGTGATCTGCGCCAAAGACACGCACTGAGTGAAGGCTTCCTTGGCAAAGGCCTGGGCCCTCAGAAATGCAAATAGATGCAAGCTTTCGAGCCAGGGTTCAGGGTTCTTAGGGAAAGCAAACGGAGAATGATTCAAGTTAGTTGTTGCATGTCCTAACCAGGGGCTTGTCCCAACCCTGCAAGCTGCACTTTCGTCAAGTCCGAGCGGCGAAAAGCACGCCACAGCCGTCATCGGCCACACTGTTGCCTTGGTTCTGATCAATGGCATGGGGTCTTGGCTTGACTTCAGGGTCTGAGGCAAGAAGGCTCAGCTTGCCGTGCCTTAATCAAACAGTGCTGCTGGTTATGCATCTTTGCCCCGGTCCTGTGCGGGCGCACACGCGCACGCGCACGTGCACACACACACACACTCACACAAGAACAAACAGTACATAAGCCCATCTCGCAAATCAAATGTCAGCAGCACGGCAAGTGCACCCGTGCAGCATGTTTGACTCAAAACGAACTGCGGGCCGCCGCGGTTAACAGTGCGCGCGTGAGCCATAACAAAGCCATGTTGTGCGTGCTGCAGTGGCTTCCTGTATGTCACATGTACCCGATGCTTTTAATCCAGTGTAATGCGCTCGTAGTTTTACAGGGCGAAGCCAACTTAATCAGGCTGTAATTTGGCGGATGTGTGGGCACGCGAATTAATTGCAATGGACGAAAAAAACACGCAGCTCAAAGGTCGAGAGCAAGCTATTTGAGTCTTTTTTTGGGACGCTGGCCACAACCTCGCAAAACCAGTGCGCACGTGTCTTCGGAATAAGACAGCCCCACCATGGCCTTTCGGCGCGTGTTTCCGGTCGGCTCCCCCATTTCTACCAAATTTTCATCAGGGTCTTTCTAGTTCCTTAGTGCCTCCTTGAGGGGTTGCTTTAACGGGAAATAGGCAAACACATGACGCCTATCTCACAATCGGATTGCCAAGCTGCCTTCCAGTTCCTCAGCTGAGCAGTCGCGTGCCAGCCCGACAGGCTTGAAGGAGCTTGTGCCCCCAGACCTCCAGTACACTTTTGGAACGATTGGCCACCTTTTTTTTGCGACTTCGCTGATTCTCAAAGGGGACCCTTGCAAACGGCCCAAGCTAGTCAATGCCACCCACGGGCAACATGTTCCCGTGACAGGTGAGAAACTGACCCTTGATGAGCAATGCATGGTCAGCTTACCCTCAATCGGTGGCTTGAATTGGGGGGGTTCGGGAGGTTTGCCAAATTCGGGGGGTTTGAACCGCATGGGCAAGATACCCCTGACGTTCATTTTACACCTTTTGTTTGCTTCGTCTCTCTTGGGCAATCCTCACTGTTGATGCAAAGCTGGCTCATAGATACGGAGTTCCAAAATTAGGCAAGAGCGCACCTTCGGACAAGGTTGGCCACTGCTTGGCCCTTGGCTTCAAACGAAACCAGATTGAATCATCAATCAGGGTTTAGGGGAAGGGCACTTGACAAATATCGACAGCACTTCACTCACTTGCGCACTCAATGACTGCTGATGGCGATGCGGGAGCTCCATCGCTTGCCCAGCCACGATGTTCACTAGCAAGAAGCACGCCTGCAGGAAAAAAACAAGGGCCCACCGGTAGCTCACTCACCGTACACGTCAATCGACCAAATCAATCTGCCGGGCACCCAGCCGCACACATCGATGCTGAATAAATTCTGTGCGCCTTCACAGCCAGGGCCAAGTCTGCCGCCGCCCGGTCTCCCCAGCCCAAATCGCAGTAGACCTCAAGGCGCTCACATGGGGCTCATCTATGAGGGGCGCTGAGCGCCGGTAAGTGGGAAGCCACCAACACCCCGCACAACCCCCCAACCAAAGAGGTTTCTTACGGTTCTGAGATTTTCACTCTAGTGCGCCAAAAGCAGCAAATCCGCCACGGCTTTCTCTGAGCTCTTGGCGAGGTTTCTCATTGTGTTCATGGTCTCCTCGAACACGACTGAGTATGCATCCTTGGCCCAAGCTGCAATAGGCTGCAGCTGCAACTCAAAACAAACATGGAACCGCCCTCTCTGCTCGGCTTTCATACTTGAAGCCAACAGAGCTTCTAGGCCTCAATTGAGTCCACGCTTCAAACAACATTGTGGACTTGAGGAGAGGCCTTCGGGCCACCTTGCCAGACCTAGGCTGTTCCTCTTGGGACAGCATCCAACATGATTAAAGCAAAAGCTGAATGATCGACCGCTGTCCTGAAGCATCTTCAAGTCCTTTTGCTCCGAAAACGACTTCGTCGCCAACCTGGGCTGATGCCAACTACAATCTGCCCATGCTGTGGATGGTCCCCCGGCATTCACAGGGCTTCCTCCATCTCAACTGGTGCAGGATTTGATCTACAGCATCGAACAACCCACGAAAGGCGCACAGGTGATTTACAACACACTCACACCGGATGATGTGACAGGGTGAACTTTTTTGTTGTACCCTTCAGTTTCAATGAGGCGAACCGCCTGAACACATGGGGGGAACTGCTGATGTCAAACACGGTCCTGCGATCCACAAGAAGTCCAATGCAGCAAGCAACAGATCGCAGAAGGCCGAGGGCACTTTGGGCGGCTCCTGCAAGCTCACGAATGACTTGTTTCATGTGGGGGAAAGTGGGGTTAACGGTTAAACTCGCAAGCTAGACGGTCTTGGCTCTTGGAGACTAAACATATCTGGACCAAAATGGGCTTCGGAACTCATCCGGATACAACTTCCCAGCCCGAAAGAGCGAAGGCCATTGCCGTCGCGCGCGCCTGCTTGGCCTTCAAGGTTCTCATCACCTCAGGCCACTCAATCCTTAGAGGCCAGCCAAATCCGAAAGATGCATAAAGACACTTGCTTAGGGGGCTTTGGGAATGAACCGGAAGGGCATCCCTGAGGAAACCAAAAGAGATGTGTGTGTTTTGTTTCCATTTCTTTGGGGGGGTCATTCCATATTTCCTGCCTATCGCATCCCCGTCCAAGCATCTCTCGCTCCAGTAGCTCCATGGCAGCCTCGCTCACCAGCAGGATGGACTGGCCGGCGCCGCCCTGGCCGAAGGCTCGGATTCGGCGCTCCGTTTGCTTGGCAGGGGAAACCAAAGGAAACCACCGAGAAAGCCAAAAAAACAGTCACAGCTGCTGGGGGCAAAAAACCGCCACCGGCGATCCTGGCAGTTTTCGGGGCATTTCTTTGAGAGTACCGCACGAATGGACACCCCATCTCGCAAGGTGTATCATCTCGACAACTGCACTGCGACAGCGCAGTTGGAGACCCGTTTCAACTGGGACTGTTTCCTCCCAAATGTCTGGGCGCACGGGTTTGGCAACACTCACATGTGCTGAAAGCAAGTTTCCAACTATGATCTAAATGGGTTGTCTGACCGATTCCCATCCTGAAAGCCAATGACATTGTGGCAATCCACTCTTGCACCCCGCCTCGCATGCCAGAAGCTCCGCCACATTTCCTGAGCGCAGAGAAACAATGCGTGCAACCCGCGTGTCTCTCCGAAAATCAATAAATAATATAAACATGTTTTTTTCAGTCGGTTTCTTTATATATTGACTTTTTTGTTTTGGGGGGACATGTTTCAGAGTCCTTTGTTTCTTCTTAATTCTATCTATTGATTCTTCTTTCTTTCTTTTCCCAACACAAGCCAATGATTTGAGAGGGGTCCTGATGTGACACATATCCTCAGCTTGCCTTTGATCTTTTGAGCTGCGCTTGGCGAGCTGCCTGCAACTGGGGCGGGGTCTGACAGGGTGACGCATTTGCACAGCCCACAACTCCTTTGAACGGTACTGTCCACTGAGTATTGATAAATTGATGTTGAACAAAGACACATTTGATTTAGTTTGGTGGACTTGTGACTTGAGTTTTCATTTGATTTAGTATTGCGGGAGCTTGCTTTGGGCCCTGACGTAAAGAATTGGGGGCCTCAAGTACTAGCCCTTTCGTGGCTTTGTTTTAAACGAGAGACATGTAAGAAAACATGATTTTGGGGAAGCTGAACATTTTGGATGCTGGGGAGCCCGCTCAAATCATTTGTTGGTGTGTATGTGCTTAGCTTATTGTTGAACCAATTTTCTTGGGTTGCCCGGGGGGGTGCCCGTCTTTGTTCCAGGTGCTAACATTATTGTTTGCTGGGGAAACCCAAATCCACATCTCAAAAGGAAGCCCCAGCAACAATAAATCAAGTGGAAACTCAAATCCAAATCTTACAAGCAAGCTCCAGCAAAACTAAATCAAATGGAAACTCGATTTCAGATCTCAAAAGGAACCTCCAGGAATACTAAATCAGACGGAAACTCAATTCCATGTCTCAAAACGCAGCTCTGCCAATACTAAATCCGGAAACTCAAGTTCACTAAGTTGAATGGAAACTCAATTCCACCAATACTAAGTCGAACGGAGACTCAGTTCCAAATCTCACAAGGAAGCTCCACCAAATTCTCAATCAAATGGAAACAAGTCCACCAATACTAAATCAAATGGAAACCACTTAAACTGGATCTCAAGATGATATTCCGGATGGGGCGGGGACCCCCTTTACAAATCGGTAGTGGACATTAGGCCCTGCAGCCAGGTCGCGCTCAAAGCTTGGCCAGCCGCGCTGCTCCTCAGCCGAAGGGGACCGGTGGGGCACCTGCAAGCCGAAGCCCGAAACGCGCAGCCAAGCGTCATAAGGAACCGGCGTGGCGTCCGGAAGCTCGCCTGCAGACTTGTGAGAGTGACGAGAGCCGGCAAGATCAAATGCCAAAATCCGAAAGCTTGGGCCCCCTCCCTGCAATTACTTGGGCCATCCCAAAGGTTTCGAACAACGTCAATCCGCACATGCCTCAAAAACGTCCGGCTGGCCATGCACGACCTTTCCGGCCCTTTGCAAGCAAGGTGCTTGAGGCTGTGGCGGTGAGCACCCAAACCTGTCCAAAAGCAAAGCGTTCGGGGCGCTAGGACTCGGAAGTACCCTTTGATCAGGTGGGTGACTGACTACCCGATTACACTTCCTCCCACATAGCATCAGTTCGAGTCTACCTCGAGGATCAGTTTCTTAATTGGACTCCCTGCCAGGTGCGATGTTGCAATGCGGCCGGCTTTGGGCCTGGGTCCGCTTGTGCGCGTACCACAACGCCACGTGCTTCAAGCTTTCTTCGAACACCTCGGCCCCGAGGCGATTCGCATGGCGGCCCACGCAGAAAGACGCTGCCAATCATCCATGGGTCAGGCCCGGAAAGGCTGGCCTTGCGGAAAAATTGATGGGGGCCCACTGGTAATGGGTTAGAACCAAACTGGACGTTGTCTGTTTTAACCAATCTGACTTAAACCTATAATCAGAACCTTGCAGCCTATAATCAGAACCTTGCAGCTGAAGAGCCTCCTCTTCTGAAGGTGTGCGAGGCTCCTGGAAGAGGCTGCAGTAATCTATGAACAGCGCTATGTCCACATCGCCTCAGCTTCCCCTCAGACCCAAGGGCTCAGTTGCTTCTTCTCTTGGAGGCTCCCCAAACAAGTTGGTGACCTGGGTCGGAATCGCTTGCCATGACATCACTCCGTCCTTGCTTAAATGGCCGGTTACTTGTACCACGAGGGTTTTCACTTTGGCTTCACTAAGGGTGGGAAGCCAAAAGCTGGCACCATGCCGCATGCCGTTCTGATTTGTGCAAAAAGGCTGAAGACGATGTTGGAAAACGACAAAATCTAGCTCCAGAATGTGCCACGCCATGCTGTCCCAAGCTTAAAAGACATATGACTGAGGCAACCATGCAAATTACCAGCCTGGATGACAACATCTTTCCAATGCACAAGCCTCAGCATAGCAGGACAACCCGGAGTGCAATATGTGCGAACGTGAAACCCGCGCTTAAAATGGATACTTAGCAAGCCAAGCAAATGACAGCATCCTAACAAATCGACTTGGAAAGGGGAAGGATTGAACCTGCAATTTGCAGGCAGTGACTTTGTGCGGCTGTGTCTTGCCGTCTTGCCACATTCCGGGCGACATCGGGCGACAACATTCCAACCCATGGTGGCATATGGTGTTCAACCTTTGGGTGGAAACAAATGGGACTATTTTCTGCGCATGAATGTTACTTCGGGCCTCCACCAACCACAGCAAGGGTGTTCTCCAGTAAACTTGACAGCAACCTGGTGAGAGACAAAATGCGGTCGCTCAAATTCACATTCCTCCAAGAATGTCACACATACGCAAATACTCATCAGGTGACAAGCTGAACCAAATACTAAATTTCTCCTATGAACTACGGACCGTCCTAAAAAATGATGACATCCTGGCATGGGCTTGCCTCAAAAGGGAATCCCAAAAATACTGTGGTTGGGTTATGCTCAAAAACCAGGGCCGCATCTAATCCCCATCAATGGCTCCATGACTCCCCCTACCAACCCCAAGTGGGGTACTGGTGCTACCCCCCAAATTAGAGGATCTATTGCCGACTCAACCTCTACAAAACCATGCCCTAAACAACTCTTCCCAGTACGTGGCTCAATTCAGTTTGACTGCGTATGCTTTCAGAAAATGAGCAGTCCAAACGCGACTTAGAACTTATGCTATCCACTGTCCACCATACCTCCCCCCACCCACCCCCCTCTTCCTCTCCCTCCCTCCCTCCCTCCCTCCCTCCCTCCCTCCCTCTCTCTCTCTCTCTCTCTCTCTCTCTCCCTCCCTCCCTCCCTCCCTCCCTCCCTCCCTCCCTCCCTCCCCCTCTCCCTCTCCCTCTCCCTCTCCCTCTCCCTCTCTCTCTCTCTCTCTCTCTCTCGCTCTCTCTCTCTCTCTCTCTCTCTCTCTCTGTTTTTCGTGTAACCGGAGAGGCGCCCAGGTCTTGCAAACAGCTTCGCGCCAGGTTTGCCACTGCGCGCAGCTGGACCCCTGAGGGGTCTGGATGCTGAAGGCTGTGCCTCGGCGATTGGATGGCTTGGCCCTTGGAGTTTCTGTATTTTTGGGTTGTGCCGTTGTGGTTATGTCTGTTGTTTGTTGGTTCGTTTGGTCAGCGTGGTTCTTTGTTTGGTTGTTTGTGGCCGTTTTGGTTGACTCGTTTGATTCTTTGTTGGCTGTGTGTGTTGGCTCGGCTATGTCTTGGTCATGCATTCGAGTTTGTGTGATTACTTTGGGGTTAAAGCGTGCCAGGGCTGGGCAACAGCTCAAACAACCCGTGATAGCCACTGGTTCCCTTGAAAGGAGACCAAACTGACGTTAAAGCAATGGTTCAAGAAACGAATTATAACAAGTTGGCCCAACTCTGCAAGGGTACTCAGATGTGAACACCTCCCAAGTTCTAGTTCGCTATGATTCCGCTTGTGGTTCAAACATCTCACCTGGGTGGCCGAATTGTTGAGTGAGTAATCCTTGTGGAGCGATGTTTATGGGCTGGAAATGTGAAACATGGGTCTGAGGTGCGATTGATTCCCTAAATGCTCCGAGTAGAGAACCAGGGAACCTGGGCAATTACATCTGTCCTTGTACTTTTTCGCCTGTCTATATGCAATCTCTCTCTCTCTCTCTCTCTCTCCCTCGCTTCAAACCTTCGCCTTCATGTCTTGGAGGCATGGTCTTGCAATCCTGGCTGACCCGAAAAACACAAGAGCAGGCACAGCTTGCCACCAACTGCCTGGGGAAGCGTCCACCATATCAAGACAAGGGCTCGCAACAAACTTGCGCGCCTTTCCAAACAACTTGAGCCCAGCAACAGCAATTCATTTGCTCTTTTTAAACTTTGCTCGAAGGAGTTTCCTTACAAAGCATGCTGTGAAAGTGACATCGACGTTGTGCGCCTATGGCTCATGCCGTACGCACTTTCCTAGCAGCCGGAAGCCCAAGGCCCTGCTGCCGGGATGCCAGCAGTACCTCGGCTTCGAAAACATGCGTTGCAAGTCAGCCAGCCTCACCCTTGGTTGGCATCTTACGTCAGATGCGTGCCCTCTGCGCCCTGAAACTTGCTCTTTGGCCATTGGCCACTTTTCCCTAGACTCAGTTTGAACACATGCCGCACATGGCCTCATTGGGTCAGCCCAGTGACCTGCCCAAAAAACATACCTCCCACAACCAGCGGCCGAGCTCAAACCTCGAAGCCACCCGCTGCGGAACTTGTGAAACCCCTCAAATTCCAACATGCCTGTCAAGGCAGCTCCCGCACAAATGCGCCCATTGCGCCTCCCGGGATCCAATTCGCCGATCAAAAGGCCAACCAATTCGCCGCGTTTTTTTCTCGCCGAAAGGCGACACCGCCACCACTTTGGTCGCCAGTTGGTGCCGGCCCCGGTCGTACTCCTCCGAGTCGGCCTGCAAATCCCGGCAGTCCTGAGGATACACTTGGCAGCAATTGGAGGTGGCTTATGGTTTACGCTGGTTTTATGGTTTACGGTGGTTTCTGGTGGTTTATGGTGGTGTTTTATGGTGGTTGCGGTGCGGTGGTTTATGGTGGTTCTCCCCAACGATTCCAGGGCTTCACACAGTCTGTTCCAAGTGTCCCACTTGTGACTTCCCCCGAAAGCCAAAAGTTCTAAAGAGTGCTAAAAGAGCGCAACATCTAACATGTTGTCCAGGACTCTTGTGCAGAACGCGTGAAGGCGATTAACGTCTGTGTTATCAAAAGTGGGAGGGGGAGCCCGAATCCTAATCCATGCAATTTGGAATCTGCAGTGGCACGCTACTGCAACTAGGGAAGCCACAACCATCTGAAAGGATGAACGCTTGGTGTTGAGCAACCAAGAATATTTGTTTATCTTCCCCGCTGACACTGGGAGAAACTGGCGAATGTCTGCGTTTGTCCGAGGATCCCACACCGCCTCCGCCGGTAGCTCCTGGCGCCTGGGCAGTCGACCCCCAGAGGCGGCCAGCGAGCACAGCCAAGAGCCTGCGAGCACAGAGGCTCAGGCTGTGGACAAATCTCGTGCGCCCCAAAAGTTTGGTCCACTTCATGGAGCTAGGGTGATGAGTTGGCAAATGCTCCCTCCACATCAACGACTTCTGGGGGAAATACGGCCAAAGCAGGTGGAAACCCGAATTTCGGCCACACGAACACTGAGGTCATTCAGGTTGTTTCTAAAAATTGGGGGACCATGGAACATAGTTGCTTGCCTTTTGGCCTTCCTTCAAGACCATGTGAAAAGGCGTCCTCCTATTGTTGACACACCCCCCATCCAAAGGGCCTGCCTCGGATCAGCACCACAGGCGGCTCTCCATCGCCTGGGCTGTTTGGGCATCCCTATATAATCCGGATAATCCATAGTTTAATCCATAGTTTAATCCATAGTTTAATCCATAGTTTAATCCATAGTGGGACACCACAGGGGAACTACCATCTGACGATTGAATTTGAACCCAGGGAGCCTGGACTTAAGATTTCTTGCTGTTTGCTCCAAACCTTGAAGGCGCCATACTTAGAGAGGCGTGTGTCTTGCAGCGGGCAGTGCGACCATATTGGATCGATGAATGTGTATGCGTGTGCGTGTGTCAGGCTCACCCCCGTGGCTTTGACTGTTTCAAGTAAGCCGAGTGCCCTGTTGGCAAAACAAAAACTGCCTTGGCACGTAGCCACTGGGCAAGGTGTTGTCAGTGGGTGTTGGGGATGCCTATGCGGGCAAAGGGGAGGGGCATGGAGCGCTTCCAATTGCGTTTGTTCGGTCCTCTTTGTCGAAGGCGTTGCAGAACGTACGCATCTATGCACGCATCCATGTGTGAGCTGTATTAAGCTATTCAGATTCAATCGGCTGTGCATGCGTGCATATGTGTGGGTGTGCGTAGTATGTGCGGGCGTGCGGGCGTGCGGCCATATATGCGTGCGCGCCCGCGCCCGCATGTGCGTCTGTCGTATGCACCATACGTATACGTGCATACATGTGTGTACCCGTGCATTCGTGCCTGCAGGCATGTCTGAATATGCAGCAAATTCATAGGCTCGCGTTTGAATGCAAACGCGGCGGTATAGCATGTACGTCTGCGCATGAATGTGCCAAGGCGCGCGTGTGAACATATATACATGAATATATAGATTTAAATATGTGTACGTATATGTATATGTATATGTATGTGTATATGTATATGTATATGTATATGTGTGTGTGTATGCGTGTATGTATGCATGCATGCATGCATGCATGCATGCATGTATGTATGTATGTATGTGGGTATGTAGGTATGTCGGTATGTATGTATGCATGCATCTATCTAGTTTATGTATGTGTGAATGGACGTATGCATTGTTACGCACATATACTTATATATATACATTTATAGAGAGAGAGATATGCGTCTTTGTATGTATGCACGTGTGTATGTGCATGAGAGCATGCATGAATGCCTGCATGACCGAATGCTATGTTTCTGTTGCAGCTGAGCGCGTTTATGAATCAAACTCGCGCAGTAGCCCGGCATATGTTGAGAGTTGAGAGAAGACTGGCACGAATACATTCCTTCAAAGATCTCAATGACTCCCCACCTGAAAGGTTGGACGTTGTCACATGTCAAGCGACGTCCGATCCTCATCCACCCAGCGTGAGAGCTCCGCGTGACAGCTGTGATTTGCAACAGCTGTGACAATTTGGTTCCCCACATCCCCGCTTCAATTTGGCCCCACAGCTCATGTTTAAAGCCGCCTGCTAAGGGCGAAATACAGTGGATGGACCAAATCCTGCACCAGTTGGAAGTCCACAGTAGGAAATTCTGAGGAAATTCAGCCGAAGGGCTGGACTGCAATGGCTCCCACCTGCAGCCGGCACCACGCTGGAGACGCGGTTTGTTTGTCACATTCGGAGAAAGTTCACTTTCACCCCGGAAAAGATTTGGCCGGATGGTTCTCCATGGCGCAGGGCAAGTTGAAACTTCCCACCATGCCATCTAAGGCTCCGGCAAGCTCCCCACCTCGCTGTACTTCACCTCACACCCCGATGCCGGAGTACGCAGCAAACTCACAACTTGACCTGGAACAGTAAAGGGTGGTTGGGCACAGGTTGCGACATGCCCTTGGGTGAGAACTCATCTGTGATGGTTCCTGGCAAAGTTGCCAGCCGCCTCTTCGCAACTGCCCATGCAGCAACGTGTCACCCACGCAGCCTTGATCAATCCTGCACCCAGCAAACAGCTTGCAGCCAGGTTGCCAGCTTCTTCACCGCGCTGCGTGGCTCCTGCAGATCTTTATCCTTAGGCGCCAGCAGTGCCCAGGATTGGCTACACACAATTCGAGGCAAGGCGCTGGCAAGCCGTGCTCCTCGCCATCCTTGATGACCTGCGTTCTTGTTGCACACTCGACGCAGCCATGACCTGCAGCGGTTCGTCCAAAGCTGGTGCTGGCCTCACGGATGCCCGGCAGGTCTTGGTTGTCAATGGTCTCGCGCATGCGGACCAAAAGCTCGTCTCGCTTCTCCTCAGGGCACCGGTGAGCACGACTTCATGTACCGATTCCATTGCAACCTCTTTGTGATCATCGTCCAACCCACCCTTTCTCCCCCTGCCATGGCTCTAAATCAGCATTTGACGTGATGAACACGGTGGATTCTCTAGATATTACTATTATTACTATTGCAAGGCACGTGAAGCAGCCACATCCAACCACAATACGCTGGCAAATTGTGTCACACCATGGGGTTTCCTTGTGCCGAGGCATCCGTGGCCATGTGCTGTTGGTTGTACTGTCACTTGCCTGCAATGCCATCCTTGTGTGCTTGCCATACGTAAAAGCAACACAAACTGGATGATCCAGCATCTCGGGCGGATTAATGGTCAAGAATGCCCTGAAACAGTGCAACGCGCACTGATGGTGGACAACGCTTGTAATGCTGCTCGGAACGGTTGTCTACATCTACAGGATTTTCTACAGGAGGATTGCGCAATACCCACCAGCAACAAGGATTTCCTCTGGAAATCCCAGTGCGTGTAGCTGCTTCAGCTTGGGAGGGATTGCCCACATTCTCCACTTGCAGGGTTGGATTGGTGGTTTGGAGGCGTGGGGAGGTTTACCATTTACACTCTACAAGAGCCAGGGGCTCGAATATCCCCAAACCACAAATACAAACCACCCATTCATGGTTACCTGATCATTGGTAGTTTTGGTTGCCAGCAAGTCCACAGGATGACCTTTTCTTGTCTGACATGCGTAGATGTGAGGGGATGGAAAGAAACATGGCGTCCGAAGCCCTCAGGCTGGTCAAGCCGTTGAACAACTATGACACGGACCCACATATCTGGTGTTCATTTGGCATTGCCTGTTTAAAGGAGTTCCATGTAAGCAAAGTGTGCAAAATGATTGGCATGATTGATGCAAGGTGCGATGACGCAAATCAAAACCTTCTGGCCCACCAAGCTTCCAACCAAACGCGCAGGCGTGGGTTCACCAAATCTTTGGAGCAGCCGCTGAGCGCCGCTTCTAGCGTGAAATGCGCGTCATCACCTTAGCGTCTGTCCTGTCTGTCTCACATAGACCTCCGCCCCAAGAGAACCCCCCTTTTCCCGGGCCCCGTGAACGAAAGCATGAGCATACTTCCTCAGCGACATACACGGCAGAAAGCAACAATTGCCTCAAGCATCTCAGACTGCCGAAAACAACAACGAAGGATCTGCCTTTTTCTCACTAATTCCAGGCGTTTGAGAGAGGAGGCAGCCACGTCTCAGTCGGCCCAAGCCATACGGCAACAGCAACAGGCTCACACTGTGTAACAACAAATGAACAATGAGAAACATACCTTAACAGCCTAACATTCAGTCGCCAAAGTGTGTTTTCCCAAACAGGTGGGCCCTGTCTCTCCGGTCCGCAACAAGAACCCCAGAAGCCAATTTGCCATCGGGCCTCAGAGCTACGCCAAACTTTGTGCAAAATGTGGACGGTGCAATTCTTCAACGAAAGACTTGGCATCCCCCCCGCTGGAGACAATCCACGGAGCTCTGTAGACACATAGAGCATTGCCTCGCTGTTGGATTTCACGCACTCCAACCTCAGGGCATTAGGGTTTGCACGGGGGACGCAGCGTCAGGCGTTGATGTCCTTTCTGCAGTGCCAGCGCGCCGGCATCAACACATATTCTATTCCAATCCTCAACTCAAATTGCATATTATATCCAAAACAATCCTTGCGTGCCATATTTACCAACATGCCTTTGTAGGCCTCTCAAAGGCACATTGGCATGTAGGCCTCTCAGGACAACATTGGGCTTATCGGATTCTATGGCACTCCTTGGAGTGACCGAGCATGATTTGGCGTGATCATCAGATTGAATGCCGTTTTTGGGGCCAAATGTATGCTATGTTCGGGGTACATTGATCTATGACCGTGATTTGGCGTGATTTGCTCCCCTGAGGGATGGCACAAGTGAATTTGTCGGATTTGTCGAACATCATTTTGAATGTATGCTTCTCAGGCCAACGTTCCTGAATGTGTGCAACCAGCGCTAACATTGGAATGTGTGGGTATTGTATGTATGTATATATATATACATATGCTGTAGCATTATATGATATAAATCAATAATCTCAACAAGCTGTTGCCAAGTCTTTCCAATTTTTTTGAACCAGTTGGACGGACCTCTGTGTGGCCTTCCCCCCTGCCCCCTGATCCATGAAGAGTATTGGCAATCTGGACAAGCTAGGACCAAGGTTGAAGATACAGGCCAAAGTGCCAAAGTCCTTGCCCACTCCTTTCCGAGCCCGCTGTATTTGCCGCCTTTGAAGTGTGTTGAGCAAAAACAGTGGAGGCTAAAACGGGAAGGACGTATTTGGAGGAGGTGCACTTAGAAGGCAGGTTCCCATGGTGCCTCCAATAGCATTTCCTCGATAATGCTGCTCATGCAAAGGGATGCACCATGATGACCAAACCAGACTCACAACCTCTCCCGCATGTCAAATCAGCGGCTGGACCCGTGCGCAACTTCAACATCTATAACTTTGCCCGGCCGCAATTAGAAACGGTCAAATCTCCCACAAAATCTCCACAATCCCTAAATAATACCTGGACCCCTTTAACAGATCACAGGAAAACACCGAGGCACGCAAAGTGCCTCTCTGCCCGCACGGAGGGGGCAGCAAAGCGCATGGCATGCCCGTTCTGCGAAACGGCCTCAGCTCCAGTTTTCGCAGCGGTGCGCCACTTCCTCGTAGCGACTGGTTGGGGTTAAGTTGAACCCCAAAGAACAAACACTGCGCGCAGTGGTAAGCCCCCGGCAGCCAGCACAACCTACAAGAACAACGCCATGCCAATGCCATGTCTGGTTGCACCCCGCCCCCCCCCCCCCCCCCGAAGAGCTGCCATAACATATCTTGGCAGCCTTCTCATCCGCGCAAAGCTCGTCGGCTGCATACCTGCGCGTATGCAACACACTCCCCCCCCCCCGAACTGACTATGGCACCGGTAAATAGCAGCCGAGTCTCCGCAGGCAGCCGCCATCTTTGGCTACCTCAGACTGCTTGACTGGGGATAAACCAGGAAACAACAGTTGTGCAAACATGGCACATGGCACACAGCTAGCGCGAGATCAAACCAGCGCCCATTCTGGCCAGCTGTCCAGAATACATCTGCGCGTGTCGGAACAATGATAATCAAGTTTCTAGTCGAGGCCTTGCTTGGGGTAAGCTCAGCTTTCAGGTCAGCATTCTATCATCAGTTGGTGGATCAGCCAACCAACCAACCAACCAACCAACCAACCAACCACACACTCACTCACTCCCTCACTCAATCAGTCAATCTGGTGGACTATTAAGAGGCGTTGTCGGTAAAATGGAGGCCCTCCCCTCCACCTCCACCGCCAAGCGTCTGCGCGAAGGAGGAAATCTGCATCTCGTCGCAGCTCCTGAAAGTGTAGCCGAGTCGTCTAGCCAAAAGCAGCAAGAGGAGGCAGGTCACACCGTCCGCCGATACGCGGCCAGGGACCACCAGTTGTTTGAAAGAAGTTCTTCGCTTGGCTGACGCACTGGTGAGCGATGGATTGGTCTGGCTTCATGCCTCCGGCGCGGTGCCCCCAAGCGCCATCGCTCCCCACCAAAATCATATCGGTCTGAAATGACAAAAGAACCGAGGCCTGCATTACGCTTGGAAGGCACATGTCATCATAGACCTACCTCCGCAACTTTCCACTCCTCGGATGCGTGGACAAGCGCCCAGCATCCATGTTCGTCGATTCCTGGCAAGAAACGCCTCCCAGTACATGTTTGACTCATGAACGCCGACCATTTGCATCATAAACGCAGGACTTCCATTCCCCGCTGCAAACATACCTATAAAGCTTTGAGATATGGCCGTACAAACCGCGAACAGGGGACACGCGTTCTGTCCACTCCCTTTTCCATCCAAAAGTGATTCCAAACCATCACTACGCAAATGGTGCAGAGTGCAGGGGTGACAAACAACTTTCTGGACCAAATGTCCTTCCTTTGCGGTTCAATGATGCCAGTGAGATCATCGCAAGTAGCGCGCTGTGTGGAGAGCAAGACCCAAAACCCACTGCACATGAATTGCAGGGAACTCAATGTTCTCAGCTTTTGCCGCAACTCCAAATGATATCTAAAGATTTTGGCCCATGCTAAGTAAGCAATACTTAAATTCAAACAAATTGATTCAGCAAAGGGATAGGATATCCATGTGTCTTTTGGCGCATGGAAGCCACGCCCACCTAAAGTGCATCACGCATAGTCGTTTAGAGGACACCCGGTGACTTCGAGTATTGAAAAAACCATTGGAGACTGTGGATATCCAGGATCTTTGGCTACTTGCCTCAGTGAATTCAAGGCGACTCAGGAAAGTGAACGGAATTGACTGCTCGGAGAAACCCTGGTTGAATGAACATTCGGCGGATGTTCGTTGGACTCCGTTTCATAACTGGGGTCACTATGATACAAAGTTGTTTTACCAAAGGAAACCTGGGCAAGGAACAAAGAAAATGAAAAATCATACCCTTAGCCTTGAGGCAAGCGTATAGGCCTTAGATCTGAGTTCCTGCTTTGCAAGTGGTTCCCGAACCATCCGTTTTATACAAATCAATCACACGCCTTATAACACACTGTCACACAACAAAGGCAGCCCACAACAGAAATTCCAGATCAAATCCTCAGCCTTTGACTTGCAAAGGGTGGCGTAGCTAAGCCTTTCTCAGCTACAGGCCTTGAATCTAGGCATTTCTGTTTTTGAAGTGGCCCTACCATGTTCTTGGTTGTTTATACAAAACCCGGTTTAACACAGCAAGGCCACACAGTCACACAAAGGGGCTACCCGCACAAGCTCCTGATCTGCTTTATTATTGTGACGGTTTCGGGGTCGTGTTTGCCTGGTGCTTGTTCACATCAAAGCTGAAGGATTCTGTGAGATCTGGGAATCCGAGATTAAGTCTTGGCAATACTAAGTGGGTAAATCTAGCATTGGCAATACCAAATTCTCAGGGTCTGAGACAACGTCTTGGCAATACAAAAAAACAACAGGAATCTGAGGCAAACTCTTATCAATTATATCTTGAGAATTGGCAATTCTAAAGCAAGCATTGGCAAGCTCAAGTCCATCCCAGACCCCCAACTTTCACTTTAGTTGGTCCAAACGACTGTTGGCACTAGGAGGGGGTCAATATTGAAGAGGGTCCAACAACTTGATGCACAACAACTGGGTAAACGAGATGCATGCACAAGCCATTGTACTTCAGAACAACCCAAATCAGCAGCGATTCAAATCTTTCTGATCTAAATGTGTTGCTATCAGCGTGATATCCTCCGCATTGGTTCACGTCGCTTTTGCATGATTCTAGAAGTTGAGGGGAGTGGCTTTGCACAGCGAGGCACTTGTGTCCCCTGCCCCGGCAAGTCTGCTCAGGTGCAACCCCAACACAGCAATGCAGCCATACAGTACATGCGGAATGCTGCTGTCAAATAGGCTACCTTCCCAGGATAACATGGAAGCTCCCAGGACCCCTTGGAAAGACTTGCCTCTATTTGCAAAGGCCTTCTGGGAGCTTCCATGTTAGTTTGCCGGGAGTGTAGCTCATGCATGTTGTGTCGGATTCTTTGCAGGCACAAGTGCTCGTTACCGTGGTTGAAGGTGTTTGTCATCGGGCATCCAAGCACCAACGGTTCTATCTCATCCATACAGCAGCTGTTGGAAGACTAAAGTCCTCTTGAAAACGACTTCGGTCCACTGCCATGATTCTTTGGAACAGTGTAACCCAAACATTCGACCTATTATCCTTGGGCATGCGACGTCCCGGCCACGTCGCCTGCCAGAATGGCCTCCTCATGCGACAATGAGGCAGACTTGATGCCCCCGAAATGCGTCATCTCTCAGTGCCCATGGCAGGAAAGCGGCGGGCGCGAAACTCGCGCTTGTTCATTTGGTTTTCTCTTTTCTATGTATTACTTTGCAAACCTTTTATTAATTTGTACTTTTTGTTTTCATTTGTTAGACTAGTTGTGTACTCCCTTCCCAGGGACTGTTGGAACGAGCTGAAGGTAGTTGGTTCTTGCGCATTGCAAGGTCCGTCCAGCCAGAAAAGCTAGCAATGCAGTCGACGAATCAAAGGCTGGCATCCGAAAGTGAGCTGCAGACCTATATATATATATATATGGTACCCCCCCCCCCCCAGGGACCTACCTTTTTGAAGAATTCACTGGTATTTGCAGTATTTTCTACCATTTTTTGGGCTTTGGGGAAAGCAATGGAAAAGACACATGTCCAAGGACATTCTGGAAGCTTCAGGCTCGATTTAAACCGGTTTAAACCGATTTAAGTTAAATCGGGCTTGGATTCAAGATTCAAGATTCAAGAATCCAGGCCAAACTTTTCGAGGGAATCTTGAATCCAGGGTCCGATTTAAACCGATTTAAACCGATTTAATTTAAATCGGGCATGGATTCAAGATTCAAGACTCCCTGAAAAATGTTGGCCTGGATTCTTGAATCTTGAATCCATGCCCGATTTAAGTTGAATCGGTTTAAATCGGTTTAAATCGAGGCCTGGATTCAAGATTCACTGGAACAGGTTGGCTTGGATTCTTGAATCTTGAATCTTGAATCCATGCCCGATTTAAACTTAAATCGGTTTAAATCGGTTTAAATCGAGACCCAAATTCAACATTACACTTTGCGCGGCTGTACTTTGGCACAGTGTTGTGCAAGCATCCAAGTCCTGATTATTCATTCAATCTGCTTCAATCTAGACCCACATTCAAGATTGTAGGCCAAAGTCTTCTAGGGAATCTTGAACCCAGGCTCAACTGAAATTTCAGTTGGTTTCAATGGGTTTCACTCGGGCCTGGACTCGCGTTTGCAAAGAAGACTTGTCTAGAGAATATGAATTGAATGTTGAATACAGGCTTGGGTTCTTTCCTTATCAAATCCTGTTAAAGCTCTAATTGAATTGTAAGTACATATTGGGAAAGGAACTCTATTTACAAACGAAATTTCAGATTTGATTACCATTAGGATTCTGACCAAATATTTCCGTATTGAGTCCCAATTAAATTGTGTTCAAATTCAAACGAGCATTTAGCGAGTGTTCGTTGGTGGAGATGTGCATTGAGTATGAAAAACACTACGCAACACTGTGGTTTACGGTGTTTTCTGACCATGGTAGTGTTAGGACTAGTGAAAAGACACAAGTTTTGGACCTTTGGATTCTTTCCTTATGAATTCCACTTAGTATGTTTTATCACATTCGACCCAATTTCTGTTTGAAATTCAATGGAGCTTAAGAAGGACATACTCCAGCCAGAATTTCGATTTAGATTCGAACTTAAGTATTGATTGTTCTATGTCAAATTAAATGGTACAAACGATTCCTGTCCAATAGAACATTGTACTTGAAACTCAATCACTTTCAGAACTAGAGTTTGATTCTTAGATGGTCTAGTCCTAGTTTGGTCCTAGTCCTAGTTGGGAGATCCTTGGTTCCAGGCCTAGTATGGTCCTAGCTTACTGAAATAAATAGAACGCACAAAGGACAATACAAAGCAAGTTCCTTATGAATTGTAGTTAATATATTAATCAAGTTCTATGCAACTGCTAACTGAACAGTAGAATAAAATTACAGAAAATATCCAATCATAATTTATGGTTATTCTGTTTCAAACCAAATATTAAACATGACTTTCTTTCCACCAGAATGTAATACTTGACATCCAAATACTATAAGAAGTAGACTTAAATGGTCTAGTCCTAGTTTGGTCCTAGATGAGAGATCCTTGGTTCTAGTGCTAGGTTGCTCCCTAGTTTACTGCAATAATTAGAAAGTATACAGGACATTACAGAGGAAGTTATACTTGAAGTTTCTTTTTGTAAGAATCTGAGGCTGAGGTGGGTCGTCTAGTCCTAGTTTGGTCCTAGTCCCAGTTGAGAGATACTGGGTTCTAGTCTCATTTGGTCCTGGTCCTAGTTGAGAGATCGTTCCTCCCAGTCCTAGATGGGCAAATCATGCACTGGAGAGGCAACCACAAGGTAGGTCCCTGGGGGGGGGGTGGCATATATATAAATATATTAAGTAGGAATCTTCCATCGTGAGTGCTGAAGCCAAATCTTCCAAGACTTCAAAGCTGCACAAATGGAGAAGGCTACGCACGCATTTGGCCGACATCTGTGCTTGCTATGCAGCCTGCTCCACCACTGCTCCTCGTGCGTGGGCAAAAGGCTTCCAACAAAGATACTTCATCTGCAGCTCTGCCATCCCCAGGCACCGACAGCTGACACTGCCCCGGCCATATGCGAACAAGAGACAAGCCTGTCATACCATACGATTCGAAAATCTTGGCAATGCCCCGTCCTCAGCTGTGGGCCATTGCTTCCTGAGCTCCAGCAACACCACTTGGTGGCTATTGAACGGTGTTTATATACCTTTTGCTGGCTTTCCAAAAGTAAAACCTGAACGATCTATCCAACTAGCAGCAAGATGATACGCGCCACAGCGAGCAAAGTGGCACATGGGAAGGCATCAGGCTCCGAAGGGAGAGCGGGATTCAAACCAGAAAAAGAAGGTTCTTTATAACCCATCGTGGATTGCTCAAACATAGATGCTGAAGCAAGGGGTCCCTCGAAACCTAGAAGAGGACCCACAAGTTGGACGGCATCGCGAGGAACATATGAACCAAATGCCAGGGGTTGGCCCTGCCAAGAGGCCAGGACCAACCACTCGACTGCCACTGGCCCTGGCCCCAGCCATTCCAGCCTGTGGTCAGGACAAGCGCGAAAATTGCGCGACATGGCGTGGTTTCTGATGTGTTCGTCTCTCCCACTCTCACCAATCTGACAATCAGATAGTCACTTTGACAATCAGATAGTCACTTTGACAATCAGATAGTCACTTGACAATCATCTGACAATCACCCCATCGGACCAGCCAAAAAGAGCAATCTGGCAGGGCACAAACGCCCCAACAACTGATCCTGAACGAGTGCTCCGAGGCAACAGTAATACAGTTTTGCCCCCCAAGCACAGCAGACGGCAGAGGCTCGCCGAATGAGAGTCAACAAGGTATGCTTGAACCCATGCCTCGGCTCCAGTCCCAGCCATAGCCCTGGCTACGGGGGATTGCGGCTCGGCGTCCTCTCTTTGGAGTGGTACAAGCAGGGGCACCTCCATTTTTTGGGTCCCCCCATTTTGACACTTGCCCATCTGGAGAACTTGGGCAACCAACAAAGAAAGGCACCTGAAGACAAGCAAACCTCACACACACACACAAAATACACCTTTGCCATCGTGCTAGCAGCTTGTTGCTTGCGGACTGCAAACTTCACTCTAGATTGCAACCGGCAGAGACCCTCATTGAAGCGATCTGCCCAAGTGATAGAAACACAGGGATGTCACAGGGACCAGTGCCTTCAACAAGCTCGACGACGAAATCAGCTCATGGTCATCCCTGTTCACCCGGTGCTCTGCCCGCTTTTCCAGGTCATTTTCTTGTGAAGACATGGGCGCCGAGCAGAAGGCCGGCTCCCAGAGCGCGCAGACGCGCGGGCCGCTGTTTGCGCAAGCTCATGGACCCATCTGTTCAACATCTTCAGCACACTTGAGCAGTGCCCAACACCCATTGAGTCTACAACCGACTATCCCTTCCTATCATGGTAGAGCCAAATAGTAGAGCCACCCATCGATATGGCCACCCAGTTTTCAGGCGCTGCTCATTTGCTGCTTACGCCTCTCTACAGGTGTCATCTCTGAAAATTGAGCGACTGCTACTGTGACCAACAAATCCCGATCCCAGGTGATAATCTTCTCTGCAAATGTTCTATATACCGCAAACCCCATGATGTCAGCCGAATTGGGAAACTGTGAACGCTCGGTAGCTTAACCCTCTCTATCGCCTACTCTATCACGCCCTCTGCGCGCAGGCTGCTCAATTCCTGATCGCTGAGGCCCAGCTTCTCCCGCAGGATCTGCAGAAATTGCGCACAGTTTGTGGCCAGCGACTTCCATTTGCCAGTATAAAGCAAAAACTAGCCACCGTCGTATACAACCTAAAGCGGTTTTATGACTGCGTTTAGCTGTCTGATCGCCAAAGACCAGCCAGCCATCCCCCTCTAACCTGCCATCATATCTAACGGCATCAAGAACCCCAACACTCAAAGCTGTTTGGGGAAAAAAGCCATTGGTGGGACATCAGGCCTGATCATCAGGCCAGCTACAAATACTTCCACGGCTGGAGCTGTTGTTGTAACTGTTCATCCTCCCGATCGCTTGGGCATGTGTGCAAATTCAAAAACTGGGGGACACCCAAAATTAGCGGCTTCCCAATGGTTTCCGCTTAAACCAACCCAACAACAAATACAACGCTGGGTGCCAAATAGGGGGTCTGGAAAAACAAATAACACATATCCGCACCCCTTCGAGATTTGCCTCATCTCTAAACGTTGGTTTCCCTTTTTCCCTTCTTTGGGCTCCAAAGGGTCCTTGGCCCTGGAAACACGGCTGCACCGCCCCAAAGCCCTCGCCTCGTCGCTGTGCTGCCCGAGGGCCGGGCCGCCATGCTCTGTGGTACCCGGACTCATGGACAGCTTTGGCCTCGGACTGAGAAAGCTTACCTCGTCTGTTGGCTTTCTCGTTGTTATTCTCTTTGGTTCTTTGGGGGGGGGGGGTGTTAAAGAAAACCCAAAAGGAGTTTTTAGCTTTGTACAGTCTTCGATTTCTTGGGAGGAGGGGGGGAAAGGGCTGGAAACCGAAAACGCAAGCACGCACATACCCACAAGGAAGCCCCCGTGAGAACCCCCGGGTTAACGAAACCTGGGGCCGCTGCCCAATGGCTGGCACCTTGACCAGCTGACCGTTTGGAAGTTTCACCTCCTCGCGGAAACGGAAGTCACCATCTTGTTACGAAAAGGGCGCGCTTCAAACATGAGCTCGGAAAGCTGTCTTGGGCATGAAAACGGGGTCGGCAGTGAGCATGCTGCTGCCGTGTACTGTTGCTTGAGTATTTCCTTAGGCCGCCTCCCACTTCCCCAGTACCGCAGGCACTGCACGGGTATACACATCTTGGTCTGCGGCTGAAATCTTTGTTCCTAAGCGCGGTACCTGCCATGTCCAAGCCTGCCCACTCATTCCGCGCCCTTTGTATAACCTGCTTTCTTCGGGCATGTGCCAACTAAATGTTCCCAAGCCAGTCCTCAAAACACTGGCGGGCTTGAAAGTGCTCGTCCTGCATGATGTCCTAGGCTAGCATGGGGCCCGAAAGAAGCCCGACAAAGGCCCCATTGACACGTTCATTTGCTGCAAGCATAGCACTCACTCAATCGTCAGAATCTAAGCAAGGCCTGCTTCGTGGAGTCAACTCAAACTCCGTCCAAACGTGAAATCATATCCCAAAAATACCCCCAACCGCATGTCAAGCACATCCCCAGTCGGAAGTGAAGAGCCCTCAAACCCAGCCCGAGTCTTCGCACCTTGATGGAGAAGATCGGCCCGCAGGGCACCGAAGCTTGCTTGCAGGCCGACTCCACCTGGCAAGGCTGAGGTGCTGGCGCTGAGCTCTTGGCCAGGTTGAGCCTTGGCACTGAGTCACGGGGTGGCTCAGCCGCCGTGTCTGAGTGTGGCGAACTTTCCGGATTCGCGGGCAAATTCTGGGCTGGAGCCCTGTCCAAACCCCAGCCGCTGATCTGCAGTTGAGGCATGCTCGGTCGATGCATTCCCGGTGGAGGGCTGTGGGGCTGGCCCCTTCAGAACTTCAATTAGCTTAGCTGGTTGCGGAGGAAAGGTCTCCATTCGGAAAGCCAGCCAATCGGGAAGCTCTAAAGCAAAGGCTCGCAAAGCATGATTGGACACGAGTCAAAACAGAAGACCTCAACACCTTTTGAATTCCCTTAAAACTTGTACCTCACAAAACGCACAGGGCACAGAAACACAGACAAACAAACAAACAAACAAACAAACAAACAAACAAACAAACAAACAAACAAACAAACAAACAAACACAAAGAAAACAGAGAAAGCAGGCACGCGTCTGGACACAAAACCTGCCAAGCCTCCGAGGCTGGAATTGTAGCCGCCCAGAACTCGATGACCTCTTCCAAAATATCCTGCCAACATGTTGCGTCCAAGCGGGCCGGCAAGAGTGGCCGAGAGACATTGCGTGCTGCTGGGATTCACATGGATTCAACACCAACTCGGAAAAATGAGGCCCAGAGGTGGAGGGGCATTGCAGTGAACCCATTCCACATTCCAAACCTGCCGCTTGCCAACGTCCGCCAGTCCATCCGCCACCTGCTTCAAATTTCCGAAGCATCTGACCCAGCTGCGCCTCGTGGGCACAGCGGCCTTCATTGCTAGCAAAGCGAGGGTCCTGCGAGGAACTCCCGAGCAAATGGGCATGTACCAACAGATGACCTCCAAAGCCAGTGGTTTTCTTTGAAACCAAAGAGGGTAAACAAAAGGGGGCGCCGACGCAAACAAACCAGAAGGTCACAGGTACAAATGCGTGTTCACGTACCTACCAACCAGCCAGGTCAACTCCTTCAAAGGATTTGGGGACCTGAGGCCCTCACACCACAACTTTTGACCTCCGGTCCTCTGCCAGGTCAGCTCGGCCCATGGCCTCGGGAACAAACCACAAGCGATGCCGGCTGCACCGCTTTCCAGGGTTCCACGAAGGACACGTCCAAAAGCACGCAAAGCTTTGCATGAGAATCCTCTGTAGAAAGGGAAAGGCAACTTTTTCTAGTTGGCTCAACTCGGGGCCTAGATTTTTGGCTCGCCTGCCAAAGTCTGGGCAGCTGGCCAGCATCAAGCGCTTGAAGAGTGAGTCCCCGTTGGCGCCGATAATCATGAACCTCCCATCCTGCGTTGCAAAATAGCACAACACACCTTCTCTTTCCTGAGGAGTCCACAAATCAAGCACCAAGTGCCTTGCATCGGTACGTGCCGGTGGGAACTATTCCGGTGAGCGAAGATCCGGACCTGAGTTACCATTTGGCCGTCCAACCCTTACACAAAAAAACGCCCAAGCTCGCCACGGTTGTCGAATTTCGCCCGAGTAGTCGCACTCTGGCACACAGGCCTGCCCAATTCCGAACACGCATATGCAGCTTGAATGCAGCCTTGGCTAGCAGAAGGGACAAAGGAAGCGGCTTACAAAGCTCCGCCTGTAACGTAGGTACGTATATGGCAAGTACCCTGCTTCTGCCAAGTGCCCAGTGTCTGCCTCTACTGGCACTGCTTTTGCAGTCCAACCAGTGGGCATTACTTTCGGTGTGAGAAGACCCAAGCTCCGTCAAACTGAATCCTTCATGCACGATCTGTGGTGCAAAGACGTACCCCGCAACATGAAGCACGCTGTTGAGCAACGACCAATTCCCAGTGACATTTGCTTCTACTTTGAGGTGGAAGGTTTATGCAGGCTTTACTACAGCCCCCTACTAAAAGGGCCGATGGGGAATTTGGGTGCTGATCAGTTGAGGTCCGTGTCAGCACCTCCAACAGCCCAAAGACGCTCTCTGCGATGGAGGAGTCCACGTCTTGTCCATGAGACACGGAAGACCGACCTGGGGCTTCAACCTTTGTCCTCTGACCCGTGGCTAGATACTGGGTCGCCCCTAGAGAAATCCTAAGGAGAAACTGGTCAAGGTGCAAACTAAGCAAACGCATTTCCGTGCCTGGCAAGTTGCCTTTCCAATTTCTCTCGGGCGCGCTCGCACGCTTTTCCTGCCGAGCGTCTCAGCCTGACTTGACAGGTCATCTGAAAACCATTTGCCAACTGTAGCCTTAGTCCATTTTACAAGCTGTGCGCAGCAGTTGAACACCGAGGCTGCTGTCTTTCCTCTCTCAGGAAGGCGAGGCATTGTGCGTACCCCAGACCCTGAGGGGCTACGAGCTTGAAATCCGGACCCGAGTTCGTAAGCAAAAAATCGCAGCATTGCAAAATCCAACGAATGTCTTGTCTTGCCATCCCTGGCAACACATTCAGCCAGCCAGAGTTGAAAGAAGGCATTCCGCGTCTTGAGCTGTGGCACAGTGAAACGCGACCCGCAGAAGGGATGTAGGCCGGGGCGCTCCAACACAATCAAGTGCATGGGGAAGTGCGTCAGTCAGCCGGATGCGTCCAAATGACCGGCCTGTGTTTAACTTAGACTGCCAGGACCGGACTGCTTGACACCCCATGTTTGTTCAGGATCAACTTACAGCTAGAGACAAATACGCCCCTAAGGAGATGGGCTTTCCGGTTCCAGGATGGAAGCCGACTGGAAGAGACAGGTTACCAGTGGCAATGAGCGAGCAGGATCCAGCAGCTGTTGTATGCCCGGCCATAGTCACTTTCATTCCATATGCTGTCATCCGTTTGAAGCAAGCCCACGCTTCCCTGCAGTGGCTTGTTAGTCAAACGGGTTTCCTTATATTGTATTGCGCCCCCTGCAAACATGACCACGAAAGAACAACTCCAAAAAGGTGATGGTTCAGCCACCCAAAAAGCAATACTTCTTCAAGCGTAGCTTTTTCGGGCTGTTTGACAGGAAACAAGAGAGACACCACCCGTCTCAAGGGTGCCCCCTGGCGCCCTCGCACGGGAAGTCCCTCAGCGTGCCAGCCAGTCCCCGTTTGGAAACTCCCAGGCAGCCTTCAGAAGGTCCTCTGGCCACACCCTCGGATTGATTTCGGCCCCTCGCGGGGTCTTGGTCGAGTTCCTTGAGGTCTTGTTTCGGGGACCGTTGGCGTTCAGCTTTGATGGTCAAAATTGGTGACTGTTCGGGTGGGGGCTAGCTGAGGCCTCCCATCAGTGGAAGCAACGATTTGTTGCGTTTTTTTTAGGGTTAAACTTGGGTGAACTTCGAGTTGGTCGGCGTTTGACTGGCTGAGTTGGTGCTAACTGGGCTTTCGGCTGGCTCAGAGCCAGCCAACCAACCCACAGGGCTTGCGAATCTGCCAGCCAAGAAAAAACATTTAATGTCACCTCCTCCGTGCCTGGCTCTTAGCCAAAGGGGCCTTGCCAAACCCTGGTGCCAACATTGGGGGCGTGACGGGTCCCACCAATTTGCAGTTCTCCCCCCTCAGTTTCCCATTGAACCTCCTGAAGAAACGGGTCAGATTAATCGGCGCCAAGCGTCTGATGGTAGATCAAGGCCTTCATCACCGGGCCAGGCTTTATCGGCATGGCTTCCACTAGAGACCGGCGATACAAACCAGCCTGCAAGCGAAGTTCGAAGGCTGCGCATGAGGCTCGATACCCGGTACCGGTTTTTCCTCGAATCCCCTGGTTCCGTCGCTTGAGAAACTTGTCACTTACCCTCTCACCAATTCACATGGAACCTGACGGGGTCCTGGAAGATTCAAGGGACCCACGTCGGGTTCCATGTGAAAAGAATGATAGGGTAGTCCAGGTTGGTTTACCCATTTGCAAAGCTCAGTACTCCTCTCACTTGGCCTGAGGTTGGCTGGGCCGGTATCCCTCCACCTGATTACCTCGGCTGTAGGGATGAATCAAGTTGAAGTAGCCGCAAGGAGCCTTTCGCAAGGAGCCAGCCTTCCAAATGATACAGTCGCATTTAAAGGAGCCGCCTCACCAAACAAAGCATTGCAGCAAGAAAGGTCGGCAGATATGTTTCAATGCATGGGGTGCAGCTCATACTAAAACGGTTCCGTTGATCCAAAATCCACGGGCTCACCCCAAGGGTTCCCATTGGCGTTGGCTCTTCTGCAGGCGGGCGGCAATTTGCAATATCTTTGCGGGCCACCTGCTCGGAAGGCCAAGAGATGACCTCAGGGCAAGGGCTGAGCAGAAACGGCCAGGAACGGCAAGGGATGGCAAGCCAGCCGCCATACATGCCCCGAAGCAATATATCCCCTGTCCATGCGGTCGAAAACATAGTGAGTCGCTATGATTGCCATGGAGTCGGGAAGTGCCGAGCCATTCTTGAAAATGGACATTGGCAGACATCGGCATGGCTCAAGTTTGCTGCTTGCAAAACCATCCGTAAGCAATGCAAAATGTAGGTCAACAACAAACAAGATCGGGAGAAGTCGAGGGAAACCTTCTCTTGTTGTTGTTTGCAGTTTGGGCTTCAAAACCACCGGGGACTTTGACACAGCTCAAACTTGTTGCAGCTTCGAGGCGGTTCCCACGATGATGTCGGCGGCCTGAACGAACCCAAGTGGCCAGCCCAATGAGCATGTCTGCTTCCGAACATGCCTCAAGCCAGGCTGAGGCGAGGGAGCCCGACTTTTGCGTTCGGATTGCCAAGGCGCCACACCCGTGTGCACGGCGAATGGGTATGTGAGGCGGGGATCCTGGCGCAGGAAATCAACACGCTGAGACAGCTGTACGCCCAGTGCCATGCTGTCAGAGTTGTTTCTGCATGCTGAAGTACTGCCGAGCAGTGCAGATCACCCCTCGCGGACTATTCCTTCTGAAATTGTAGCTTCCTTTTCGAGGGCATTCATAGGTTGATGGACCAACGCCATTTGCCATGTAATATCAGTTGAAGGCTCCAAACGATACAGTCTCATATACAACTTGGTGTGTACTTGAATATTGAAGCCACCAGAATTTGGAAGGGCGTGTGAGTGGTGGTTTATCCATTTCAAATGTTCCTGCACCTCAATGCCCCTTGCCTTGCAATTTGCGCCCCGCGGCCGAAACCTACCCCACCGGTCCTGACGCAAGCGGTAGCCCTGTACGAAGGCCGGCTCCCACGAGGCGCCGCTCAGCGCCAGGATGCCCCACTTATCGCCCTGCAGGCTAAAGTCGCCTCACGTCGTTCGCTGTTGCAAAACTGCCGCCAAATTTCAGGGAATCTCCTGTTGAGAACCCCTCATCTTCCCGGCCAAGGATCTCAAAAGCAAGTGGCAAGGGAATACCCCTGGTCAATACCCATGCGCACTTCGGGCTGAAGCACAAACAGCGCCCAAACAATGGTTGGCTTTCTGCGTGCTTTCAACTTTCAGCTTTGCCTGCTTCCCGAGCATCGCAGCCCGCAATGTTCATGCAGTCCACAAAGGCAGGTGCCAACAGCCACACGATGAACACCTTTTATTCAGCAAGCTGCAGCATCTTACGAGAACCGCTTACATAAACCGACATGAACACATGACTCCAGGGAAAGCCGAGCACATGCGCGGGAAGGCCAGCGCCCAGCTTTGCCAAGATGCCACGCAAAGTTCCGTAGGCGAAGACCTTCAGGGCCTCACGCTGATGCGACGCAGCGTTTTTTTTGCTCCACGCGTTGCGTTTCCGAAATCCTTTAGGCATAGCGGCTGCATGTTGCCTGGCGTTTCCATTGCTGGAAACTGCCAGCTTGGGGGCCATCACCGGCGATTCAGCGCGTGCACGTGCAATGCCCTAAAACGCTTGTGTAGCATGTCCATTATCGTGCTGGCACCGCGCATGCTCGCTCGAATGCGCAGCACTTGCGCATGTTTCGGCTAAAGCTTCGGGCGTAGGCAGCGCAGGACTCGTGAGCAAACATCAAAACGGCGCACAGGTCCACGCCTCTGGTGCTGCCTCAACCTCCGGCTCCTCATCAAAGGCCACCAGCCTATTCACCAGGTCCTGCCATGTGAAAACAAATCATCAAATCAAGGGCTCGAAACTCAAACCTGGCCATGGGTAAAAATCCCGTACCCCCAGTGAACATCCCTACCCCCACTAAAATGGACTAAAATGCACCTACCCCAAAATGGTACCATTGGTTTTGACTCACAGACACCTGCCAAACAGTGCAGAACAGCATGTGACAAGCACAGTGACACCAACTCTGGCACTGCAAACCAGTCCGGGAAGGGCCTGCGCCGGCCAATGCATCTGTGAAATCCCCACAGTGCCATCCCCAGTTTCCCATCGCACTCCATCACGCCCACTTTTGCGTGTTTGTCTTTTTCTTTTTTGTTCTCGTCTTGAGGCGCAGTACTACTTTTCAGGTTGCCTTCAAAAAAAAAACTTTAAAAGGGACAATGACCTCAAACTGCCTTTCCTCTTTTGTTTGATTTGTGGCATCTCCTGTTTCAAGGAACCAACTTTTCTTGGTCTACTTCCCCGTTTCGACGCATGCGATGCGGCATTTTTGGGAAAACTGGCGCCCAAGAGACCTCCTTCAGCGCTGCAGGGAGCTCGTCCAGGCGCAACTTGAGGTGCTCCTTGGAGGGCGGATCTGGGAAGCGCTCTAAATGTGTTTTCCCTTTTTTGAAGGTAGACGTTTCGCGGTTCGTTCAAAGGGGGAACAAAAAGAAACCACTATTTTGGGGGGTATAAGTATAAGTCCTATTTTGAGGCCAAAATTGACAAAACTTGCATTTCTTAGGCAAAGCCTATTTTGAGACAAAGACACAAGGAAACTCATGGGTCATTCTATTTCTGGCCCGCATATTGACGCTTAAACAAACCCAAAGGGCAAATACAGTCAGCTCGAAATCAGGTTCTCGGGTTTAACTTGATAAGAGCTTGTCGAGCATGCTCGAAATGGAGTTTCAAGGGGGGTTCAGGTATGGATTGTGGAGGCATGTAGGTCATACACCACTTCAGGGGTACACATTGTCTTTCAAGCTGGAGGCTGGCATTGGTACATAACCCCCATGCCTTCAAAACGAATACTCGCCCTTGCTAGATCTGGAAGGCTTCCGAATTCGGGAGCCGCAGGCTGAGCCGCAGGCTGTCTTGATCAAAGGGCTGCACAGCACCTCGAGGGCATCCTGGAAAACAACGGCCATCACAGTCTGCCGTCAACGAAGCTTTGGGCACAGCCACGGCCATTTGTGACTACTTACTACTTGCTACTTTCTGCTGTTGCATCACCACCACTACTAGCCCTTTACCAACTCACACGCTCTCTCTCTCTCTCTCTCGCTGTCTCTCTCACTAGTGCTCCCGCAGGTCCCTACTCACTCGCACCCTTATTCTTACTTCCTACTACCGTTTTGTCAACTTATGCTGCTCCTCTTAGCGCTGCCAGGCAGGATTCTCATCATTTTTGCATGCAGCACGCGTGCCGCAAAAAGCCACGGCAACACTATCTGACGCAGGCTGATGCTATTCGCATGGTCCTCCTCATCGTATCCCAGCTTTGCCAGGCTTGTGTGAAGTGTGGTTTCGCTCACCGACGGCAAGGACGGTCGGCGCAGCGCCTGGAAGCGGCAAGCAATGTCGACAAGCAACGCAAGCTGCTCTCCTAAGACCTTCCTCGCCAGCCACCGTTGCCGCAAGTTTCGTAGGGTAACGTCAGGAAACGTCATCTTCCCCTGCACCATCCTCTGATTGGCAAGGATGTCCATTGGCATTAGCATGCAGCTGCTAACGAGGCATCCAGCCAACTCCAACTCCAACTCGAACTCCCCCACCAAACCTGACCCCGAGAAAAAACAAACAAAAAAAACAGAACAGGTCGGCGTGCACATTTATATATATATATTCTGTGCTCAGGGAAAGCATGCATAAAACAAACATAAGCTAAACAACTAAAACAAACAACCAAAAAAACTAAGCAAGGCAAAACAGGACGGCCTGGGCCTGTTTGCACATGTTGCGCGACGGTGCTGAAAACAGAAGACAAACTCGAGGAAACCATGCAGAAACAAACAAACAAAAACGGAAAAAAAGAAGAACAACACACACAAGAAAACACAAAAAAAAAAAATAATTAAAAAAAAAAAAACAAGACCACGTCAGCTGTCACGACTTGCGGGGGCAACGTCTTCTTTGTTGTGCTTTGGATTTCGAGTCGTTTCGGATTGTTTGGATAAGTCCGAAAACCCTCAAGAAAACCAAGAGACAAAAAAAACATTCTAAAAGCAGACTATGTCAGCTGTCCTGACTTGGGGGGGGGGGGGGCATAATCAGTTTTTTCCCCTGCAGTGTTTGCGTGTTCGTTCCAGCCTGGTTGCAAGAGCTTCTGTGTTCCAGTGCGCTTGTGTCGTTCACATCCAAGCCCTAGATTCTTTCTTAATTAAAGTGTTCTGCATTTAAGTTAGAAATTAAGTAGAACTTGATAAATTAACGCAAAAAACATATTCAGAAGAAACAATGTAGAGGTCCCAAACTTGTTGAACAAATGTTGTTCAAATGTTTACTGGTTTGCAAAGACACATCTATTGGAAAGAACCACCTGTGCAACTTCTACTTTATATAGAATGATCATTATGTAACTCTTGATTTAACGTGTTGGTTGGACTCTTTCCTGATTTACGTTTGGCGGTTGTCTGAAATTCCTTGTTCCGGAAACTGCCATCTTCGCGAGAAAAAAACTTTCGCGGACCCCATCGCGGAACTTTCGCGGGGCTGTTTTCGGAACATTCATCACAAAAGTAGTACACGAAGTACACTTTCGCAGCCCCAGCGCGAAAGTCGCAGCTCTTGAGTGCGAAAGTAGCACTAAAACTAAACTTCCGCAGCCCGGCTTGAATACGAAAGTAGTACACGAACTCAACTTCCTCAGCCTCGAAAGTCAAAACTTTTCAATACGAAAGTGTACACAAAGTGAACTTCCGCAGCCCAGCTCGAAAGTCGCAACCTTTCAGTTCCAAAGTAGCACGCGAAACGCGCTCCCGCAGCTCCAGCTCACAAGCCGTGAGCTACGCGCGAGAGGACCCGTTGGCCTCATGTCCGGAAACTGGCGGGGAGTTCCGTCGACTTTCGCGAAACTTTCGCAGATCTTACGCCAAACATTCGCGAAAATCCGGCTGGAAGTTGCGCTCAACTTGCCCCAACAGCTTCAAAACTCCCAGAAGCTGGTTTCTGCTGGCTGGGGGTTGCTTTTGCAGCGGCGTATTCTTGCGGCGACCCTCAGGCTGCGCATTCTCCGACCAACTTTAGTCTGCGAGCATTCTGCACGCACTGCCGGTAAATACACATGGTTCATCACTCCAGCTCCCTGTTAGCAAGCCACACAAAACTTTCGAGGGAAAAAAGACTTTCGCGACCCCCTTCGCGGAACTTTCGCGAAGGTCAACGCTAAGACCAAAAGGTCTTCCCCTTCATAGCTCAATACAAGGACCTTTTGGACGACTCTCATTTACTTTGAAAACAATATATTATGTAGAATAAATAAGGACATACTTCAAAGGTCCCAACCTTGTCTAAAAATGTGTTTGAGTGGTTACTGGTTTGTGAAGACAATTGAAAGGACATCTAGTGTAACATGTTTTTTTTTTTTTTCTGAAATAACACCATCATTTTCTAAACACTAAGTCAAATAAAAATGCTGATTGGATAGTTCCCTAATGAAATGACATTTGAATAAGACTTGAATTTGAATGACTTGAATGGGGCTCAATACGGAAATACTTGATCATAATCCTACTGGACACTAATCTTACATTTGGAATTCGGATATAATTATTTCCAAATAGACCTTTACAATTCAATTTACAATTTCTATGTTATATTCGAATTTAGATTAAACATGATTCCATTGTAAAGTAGAATTTGCACAGGATTGCCTTCCAATCGAAAGTCTTTACAAACCAGCCAACATGTAAGCACACATTACTCGCACATAGTCCAACTCGAATTTCCACTCAAACATTTATATGGGGAAAACAAAGAAGAAACAAATGCACGCGCTCACAGCGTCCCGCCCCCCAAAAACGAACACAACTAGAGCCAGCAGGCATTCAGCGCCGGCAGGCAGCCGCAGCTCGGCGCCTTGGAGAGGCTGGGCCCGGCCATGGTCCGGTCCCGATACTCATAGCCCGTGGCACGAGTGACGGCCATAGGCCATTGCAACCTAGTGACAAGAAACTATTCAGGGCTAAGGCGCCCCTCCCCTTCGGCTCTCAACCAATGGACCAAACAATACGAATTCGACCCCTGAGAATATAGTGACACTATCAAGGGAAACCACGCAATCCAGCTTGCATAAGGAAGGATCACGAATGACTGATTGCTTGGCTGCAGTGAGATCACTGCAAGATGAGGCTGACAAGAAATGGGCTCGTCTCAAACAGACCCTCGAAATTGTGGTTTTCCGTGTGGCTTCGCTTTCAAGCAACCCAACAAAAAGGTACCTTGAAAAAAGCGACAGGCATTTGGTACTCGGGGGGAGTAATTGGTTATTGGCCCTTGAATCCCAAGCATCAACCAGGGTCCTGGCCTGTAGAATGCTGCGCAGAAGGACTCGTTCGGCCTCTGCCGCCAGACGGGATTGCTCCCATTCAACTCAAGCAAACAGTTGCTTGGACATTGGTGAGCCCTCTTTGTAGGTCCTACCCTTTGTTTGGCGATTGCTAGGTTCGGAAGAGCTTACCTTGTGGGATCAGATGAAATTCGAGCCTCATGGGCCAGCAGGGCTAGCAGTCACCTGCTGTCATCCGCTATGTGCAAGGTACCAAAATCGAACAAGCCGAATGCAATGAACTCCTCCTTGATTTTCATTACATACACAATTTTTGTTCACTTTTTTGGGACCCAACATTTCGGCATGTGTTCATGTAGCTTCCCCGAAAGTGAGGCAAAAACCCCCCAAAGGGCCCCAAAGTTTCACAGATACCTTCCTGGAGCTGGGGCCCGTGCCATCAGCTTGCTCGTGGGGGTCGAGGCTTTTGATTCAAGGATCAAAGGTCAACCCGTGTCCGTCTTGCCTGGTGCTTCTCTTTTGCTGCTTGCCTGCCTTGCTGGCCCTCTCCGTCGCTGTTGGCTTCACACCGGCTGGCTTCGCGACGCAAGCGTCCACTCCTAGCTGATCCGTGTCCCCTTCTGCAGGCTTACGTTGCGTGCGGTTGGCTGGGGAAATCAAGCTGCGCCATCGGTTGTCGCCTGAACCTGTGAGCCACAATGAGGGCGTATGTGCACAGGGCGACCACACGCGGCAAACTATCTCTTTCAGATTGATGGATCAAAGAAACCAGACTTTAGACATACAGCAAAAGAAGACACGTGCTTCTCAAAATAGGGAGCCCTCAGAAACGTGCCCACAATACAAAATGGGCTTGTCTGTTTTGAGAGTACCCTTCCTGGGTTGGTTTGACTGGACACCAAACGAGAACGCCGCCGTTTTGGGGCTCAAAATCCATCTTTTGACGCATGCCCAAATGAAACCAGTCCGTGTAACGTAGCTGAGCGCCCTGCTCTCCTTCACCAGCGCCAGCAAGATGCCAAGCCTGCGAGAGGATAATATAAGCATGTGGCCGGCACTTGCACCGGACAAAATAGGTAAGTCATTTCCACTTAGGATTGATTTAGTGATGGGATTGGTCTGGGCCCACACGACCCCCCCCCCCCTCCCCCCCAATACCAATTACAAGGCTGAAATTCATGAACATAAGTGTTTTCCACGACCACAACATATTCTTTGACGGCGCCCCACCAAAAAATACACAAGCATAGACCCCAAATAGCGGAAAACTGCACCTGCACCAGCACCCCACGGCCAATCTCGCGAAAACGCCAGCACCACCACCAGCACCTCCAACAGCACCCGGAAGCAGCACCCCCAAAAGCACCCCCCAAGCACCCGGCAACCAGCACCACCTAGAGCAGCTCCTCCAAGCTGCATGCCCCCTACCCGGCCGTCCATCTCGCAAAAATGCTGCGTCGCCGTCGCCAGCACCCCAAAGCAGCACAATCCCAAATTGCATGCCCCCTGGCACCCAGCCGGCAATCTCGCAAATCACGTTCAGCTCTTTATTAGTTAGAAACCCTATAGATTGCAGCTATCTGGGGAAAACAACAAAACAACGGACACCCCACGCAAAAAGAATCAACTCCCCGCTGGTGATGCAGCTGCTGCCTCTTCCATGCTTACACTGCCGCACCCTGCTTCTTTCTCATTTGTTTGAATTCCAAGGAGATGTGCGTTCCGATGCTTTCCGGAAGCAACACTAAGTCAAATGGAAACATGCATCGAAGCTCCTTTTGGAATCCTTCTGAGCTCTGGAATCTTGCCAGAATAGTGGTTGAGGGTGGTTGGTTCACTTGCAACATTGAGGAGTTCTGGGCATCTAGCGAGCGCCTTTCTGGCAGGCAAGTTCTGTAGAGCCACCCATGGTCCCAGACCGAGGTATCACAGGCGGCGATTTTTCTTGTTGCATCCTGGCAGCACGGCGTTCATACCCGCCAAGGTGTCACCCATGGATAGGTTCGGACGCACAGGTGGCTGCCCAGGAACTCCTCGCGCGGAAGCGGTCAGCTTTGTGCATCCGCCGTCACCAGCATGGCAAAATAATGTCAAACATCTGCCATCACCCCCTCTCACCGTGCCTTGCCCTCAACTGGGCACTTGGCATCAGTGTTGGCGAATGGGCTATAAGTTATAAGCCCACCATCCCAGTCTGGGCGAAGTTTATCCTCTTGATCGGTCGCCACACCGCGTCTCTGTTTTCCGCCCAGGCGCCATTCACGAAGCGGAAGCCGCCCACACCCTCGCACACTGAGGCGAAGCCCGGCTCTTGAGACCTCGTGTTCGAGGCCCTTCCCATGGACATCATGGACCTACAGGCCTAAAGGAGCCCGGCAGCTTCAGTTAGGCTAGAGGACCTTCATTCCAATGCTGGGCGAATGGGAAGGTCATGACTTGCTGGTCCTTACTTGACAACGGGGTTCATATAAGCCTGCCTACATGGAGATGGTAGGCGGGATAAAACCTAGTGTTCAGACGGCTTTATCTCTGCCAACTTGTGCAGGATTCTGTCCATCCACAGTGTGTCCCCTAACAACCTCATTCTGGGTGTCCTCCCAAAAGAACTCATTTTGAAATGGAGAAAAGAGCTTTCATCCATGCTCCCTGACCTCAAATTGCATTTGCCGACTCCAGCGGGAAGGCAGAAACACGTTTCCTGTCCTGCTATGCATAATGGTTTGGTTCGGTAACTCACTGCGCTCTTCCTGTGCTCTGCTGTTTGCAATGCTGGGCCTAGCCAGGCAACTGCAGCCCAGCAGCTTTGGGCCACTTTGTCCGTAGCCGGACCTGACGTGCTGTCGCTGCCGACAGAACGGCGGCTGGCCATTCGTCTTGTGCCCGAGCTAAGCATTGTGCTAAAGCCGGTCCACTTGCGTTGAATTGTCGAATTCATAAAATATTTTGAGTGCTGTCCTGGCACGCTTGCTCAAATTGAGCTCGTCATTGAAGAGGTGGCAATCAGGCCACTGGAAGTTGAAGAAAGTAAAGTCCCGGCCCCAAACCCGCCAAGCCATCCTCTTCAATTGAACCCCACCCAAACATGGATGACCAAGCCTTGCAAAATGACACCTCTTCCACTTTGGTTTGGTTGCGTCTGTTCTGCCATCCCGGCTCCGACCCTCCCCCACTCGGATAGTCCATCTCCTCAGAAAGTAGGTTATACCATTATACCCATGCCAAGTCAACCAAGCCCTGTCCCACTTGCCACGACAAGCGTCGCTTGAGCATAGCACCGCCCTCCCGGCCCTCCCGGGCGTCCCGGCACCCGTGCCACGATGAGCTTTGGGTTGGCCTCCCGCAGCACAGCTGGAGCCATGCCCCAGCGCTCCAAGGTGCCGGGCTTGAAGTTTTCAACCAGCACGTCCTCGGAGGACGTGCTCTGGGAAAGGGCGACGGATGTTTTCCCGGATGTCACGGATCTGGTGCAGAAACAACATGGAAAAACACCTGTCACACTGTTGCATATATGAAGCACGGACAACAGTCATCCCTTCCTCATATTTGAGGTCCCCCTGAGAATGTTTGATTTGAGAATCTCCAATGCGGGAATACTACTTTTAGAATAGGCTACTACGCAAAGAAACACATTGTCTGAAAGAGTATGAGACTTCGTTATTTGTCTCCCAGGGTTTTCCGGAAACGAAAAGGGGACCCCCTAAAACAAATATTGTTGCCGGGAGACCAGCTTATTCTGAGGGGGGGACCGTTTTAATATCAGGGGAACAGGATTACCTTCACACGTGCTTTGAACCTCAGGGCAGAATTGGGTGATTTTGTTCACCTGTTTGGGGTCGGTGGTTTTACCGTGGCAAGGGTGTGGGTGTGAGAGTGTGTGGGTGCATGCGCGTGTGTGTGTGTGTGGGCGTGGGCGCGTGTGTGGGTGTGGGTGTGGGTGTGGGTGTGGGTGTGGGTGTGGGTGTGGGTGTGGGTGTGGGTGTGGGTGTGGGTGTGGGTGTGGGTGTGTGTGTGTGTGGGTGTGGGTGTGGTGTGTGTGTGTGGGTGTGGTGTGCGTGTGTGCGTGTGTGCGCGTGTGCGCGTGTGCGCGTGTGCGCGTGTGCGCGTGTGCGCGTGTGCGCGTGTGCGCGCGTGTGTGTGCGTGTGTGTGCGTGTGTGTGTGCGTGCGTGTGCGTGCGTGTGCGTGCGTGTGCGTGCGTGTGCGTGCGTGTGCGTGCGTGCGTGTGCGTGTCTGGTGGTGCGTGTGTGCGTGCGTGTGGTGCGTGTGGGTGTGTGCGTGTGGCGTGCGTGTGTGTGTGTGTGTGTGTGTTGTGTGTGTGTGTGTGTGTGCGTGTGTGTGTGTGTGTGTGCGTGTGTGTGCGTGTGTGTGCGTGTGTGTGTGTGTGCGTGTGTGTGCGTGTGTGTGCGTGTGTGTGCGTGTGTGTGCGTGTGTGTGTGTGTGCGCGTGTGTGTGCGTGTGTGTGCGTGTGTGTGCGTGTGTGTGCGTGTGTGTGCGTGTGTGTGCGTGTGTGTGCGTGTGTGTGCGTGTGTGTGCGTGTGTGTGCGTGTGTGTGTGCGTGTGCGTGTGTGTGTGCGTGTGTGTGCGTGTGTGTGCGTGTGTGTGCGTGTGTGTGTGTGTGAAGAAACCCACTAAGGGCCACAACCTAGTTTGGGACCCAAGGGTTTCCAGAAACGCACCACGAAAAGACAAAGGGGAGACCAAAAACCAAGAAAGAGGTCACGCCCATTTTTCAGTAGGCGAGATGCGTCTTGAGCCATCGGAGATGGCATGGGTGCAAACAACGTCTGCTCTTATGTTACATAATGCACAACTGATACAACGGATTTCCTTACCCCCCTGCGGTGTGAGGGTTGTGCACTGACCGTTGCACGTGTTGGGCCGGATGCCCAATCTCCACAAGAGTGGACGCATATCAAGTTGAGCTGATGCTCAATCTCCACAAGAGTGGATGCATGTCATCCACAATCTGCATTTCTTATTTACATATTTTGTAAATTTGCGGCGGCACTCACAAACGTGGAAATCCTGAGTGGCTGAGACAGCCTGCATTGGTTTCCCTGGCTGCTTCAGCCATGCATGCAAAGATTGATGCACTCAACAGTGCATGATGCTTGTGATGCCAATTTGAAGTTCCAAGATTCACTGGTTTCCAATTCAATTATGTGCACCTTGGCATGCGCAAGTGTCATGGCGATCCTATTTAATCGACACTTAGGGAGCCCTTAGGGCTACGGTGTGAAAACGGCTGCGGATTTGATGACATAAGTCATCTGCTCTCTTGTCTGGATCTTGTCCAGCTTCAGGCAGGAGCTAGCCATATTCGTTTTTTTGTTTTATCTACCCCAGAGGTGAATGCATTGCTGACACGGGCGCAACTGCTGGCGCAGGAAGGGCTTCGTGCTACAGCCACATCCTATGGGGTGGTACACCCGTGACACTTCCTGTCCTCTGTTCCTCCACACGCGACGAACCTGATCTTGATCAAGATGTTCCATGGACCAGCACTTCGAGGCCTGGTAGACCCTGAAGTTCGGTCGATTGGGCAGCAGTGGGCAATCGGCGTGATGGAAAACCTCAACCTCCGGGCTGAGAAACGCAAGCACCTGGCTATTGCCCACGACCCTGTTGCCAACCGGATTTGGTCCTGATGCCCCAAATGCAGGATTGCTGGCATCACCACTCACTGACTCACGCGTAGATGCTGAAGCACTGGTTTTGGTGCTTGCCGGAGGTGCCTTATGCCGCACTCTATACACAGATGATGCATCACTATTTGCACGTCCGCGAATGTTCGGAGGCGGCACTCGATAGCGTACTGATGCAGCACTCTTCGGCATTGGTGTGACAAACACGGGCACCGCCACGTAAACCGGCGGAGGCAACGGTGGTTGGAACACCTGATCCTCATTGAGAATGATGTGATCACCCTCAATCCTTCCTATCGGAGGTGCAGGCACTGGTCCTGCACTTGCTGCAGGAGCTACCACACTCGAGGCTGATGCCTCCTCATCCACAAGATCCCACGAATTGCTTCGGTCCATGGCGGGCACGTGATGCGGATGAGCCTATGCTTCTTTATGTCAATTTGACATTGCATACATCAAGTTTATCTAATTTGCAGTTTCTGTCAAGTGATTGAATTTTGCTTTCCGTCCTTTCCAAGTCTATCTACTTTGAATTTATTGAAAGGTTTCTTTCAGGTAAGCGCTTACTGCTGCTGTACCTCAAAAACCACAATCACTACGGCGGCATGCACACATCAAGAGTCACCAACTATCTATCCAAGCGACTACGTGCCCTTTGAACTCACTTACAAGTCCTTTGGGGTACAGCCCATATTCCCTCAACCTCTGGTAATCAAGTGGAAGATGATTCTCACAACGGCAACGTCGTTTACCAGAGAACGGAATGTTGGCTTGGATTCGAAATGTGTGCCGGTTGGTGGAATGCAACGGTGAATTCACATACGCACAACGATCAAACATGCCACAAGAAGACAACTCACAATTGCTAATCATGGCTTGCACATCAGGCTCACGCCAATAGTTGCAATGTCGGGAGAGTTCGAACGTTCGGATGTCGGCATGCTGCAACACACGTTTTCCGTGCTTCAAGAGTCGTGCAAATTCAAGGTGATACTTCCTCAACCTAGCATCGAGGTTGCTCTGCTGCAGATACTGCATCGGCGATCCACCTGTACATGGTGGGGAGAAGTGTGACCACACCCACACTCCACGGAATTTCAGCTGCTTGGTCCATGTGACCAACCGATCTGCACAGCGCTCAAGATCATCGTCTTTGGTGATCTGCAAGACGTACATTTTGTTTTTCGAGAAGGATTGGCCGTAGAGTGGTGCGAGGCCAAAACCAGCTTCTGAACAAATGTCATAAATCACCAAGTCTCCTGGACTCAGGACCTTGAGGATCTCTATGGATCGGGCGTTCAAGTTGTCAAAGTTGAACATTTTTAGCAACTGCTTCGGTCTGGTCTTGCTTGCAAACTGCCAGATCTCAGGCGGCTTCATCTCGATGAACCCGAGGCGATCTTGCATTGTTCGCAAGTTGTCCTTTGAAAGGCATTTGGTGAGGATATCGGCATTCATGAAGCTGGTACCAATCCAGTAAAGAACCAACAAGCCACACTGCACCGCATTTTGCAAATATGCCACAGCAATGGACAAATGTCTTGTCCGTCTGGTTACCGACCCGTGGGTCAGAGCTCGGGCGCTTGAGCTATCTGTTAAGATAGTAGCGATGGCTCCTTGGTCGTTTTCTACTCCTGAGATTTCAAGCGATCCACGGGAGGAGTTTATCTCTCCACATGAGTCCAAGAACGTGACCAAGTGGCGGATCCCAAGCGTTTCCTGCGATGCGTACAGGAGTCCTATGGTCTCACTTTCACAACTTGACAGCGCAACACTTGTCTGAAGTCGGGATACGAGCTTAAGTGAGCAATTTTTCCACACTATTACATATCCAGCACAAGACTTCCGCATTTCGGCGTTGCTGGATCCCCATGAACTATCACAATACGTGACCAGTTCTGACTTTACATCATTGGGGATTTTCAAATTTTCGGCTGGAAACTTTTGATAAAAGTGGATCTGAGATTTGATGAACTTCAGGAATTTCACCAGCCCTTTTTCAAATTTTGTCGTTGGATTGGCTTGACCTTGGGCTAACACTGATGCGTACCTACCCAGGTCTGGTCGGGTTTGGATCCACCATGCTACACGACCTAAGGTGGCACGATAGCGACTTGCGGCACTTTCATTCAAGTATTCAGGCTGACCGCCCAATTCACTAGGCCGTTCATCAAGTTCCTTGACGAGATCAGGTGGATATGCGGAGGCGGTCAAATCCTTCAGCTCCTCTTGCAGGTAGCTGGGAGGCACACGAATGTAAATTCCGCTTGCATCACGCTCGATGGTCCTGGCCAAGAAGGTAGCTACTGAATAAGAGCCAACCGGGAGGAATCCGGTTTCCTTCACTTTACGAACCTTCTTCAGGAGTGCATTCTTGAAGAGATCGGCGTGCTGCTGGGAATTGGCAGCCACTACAATGTCGTCTACATATATGAGAACGGTCATCTGGTGACCCTGTACCCAACCACTGTAAACGCAAGGCTCTGTGGCACTTTGGTGGAGCCTGAGGCTTCCACACACACCGTCAACTAGATTGAGCCATGCCTTTGAGGCTATTCTTAACCCGTTAACGGCTTTGGTGAGCACTGCGAAGGCAGGCTTGACGCCTTTGTCGTCCAGGCTGACATCCTGAGGCAGTCTAATACAGACCTTATACCCCTTTGGAAGGTCAGAGTGCAAAAACGCAGTTGACACGTCGAGAAACTGAATGACCTGCTTGCGATGATGTGCTTGTGTCAAGATGGCACGCACGGCTTCAAGTGA